AATAATTTAAAAAATCACAGCATTTTAACTAAACCTGTGAACATGTGTTTATATCGCATTTCTAGCTAGCTTTTAGCTAAGCTTGCAAGACCTTAGCATCAAGTAACTACAAAGATAAAAAATTGTTCCGGTCAGCTTCAAAACTAGAAAGTGTTACGCAATGTAGGCCAGATATTCTGGCACCAGGAAGCTTTTTTATTTAATAACATCGCTGAACTTTTCACCACGCGCAAAGGACTTCAAAACATGGCCCACAACTGTCCCATATGTCTTAGTGGCATTATCCGCATGTAATGACCCACAGCCAGGACTCAAAGGCACACGCAAGAGCAGATAAATGAAATTAGTTGACAGCCAGATTGTCGCAGTAAGCCATTTTGAAGAAACTCGGAAAAGTTCCTAGCGTATAAATGAGGAGCCAAAAGGGAAAGAAACCGAGAGCTGAAATCAAATGAAATTTCAATTAGCCCAATGGACGGAGGGCGAAGGTCGGGTAGAGACACCTCCGCACCACACATAATAAAATCTAGAAGATGTCTTGAATGAAGAGCACAATGCATTAAAAAGGCTTAGGAAACCCTCCCGAAAGGGCTGCATTTTCACACAAAAAAGGGAAAATAAAAAGGAACAGAGAAAACTTTATTTGGATACAGCTGAAGAAGCAGAAGCAATTTGTTGCGTGCGCATAATTACATTTTTCGACAGCTAGTGGGAATGCGAAAATATTTTGCGGACTCGAAATGAAATTTCAAACTGTATACGCAGGAAAGGAAATGGGAAATTATACTCCATCCGCTGAAGACCTATGCACAGTCCACGCTACCAACTAAGGTTAGTTGACTAATCTGGTTTTTTCTGTGTCCGATAGTCGCTTCGAAAATAGATAATATCATTCCTAAAACTGAGCAAGTGCTTTTACCATAGAGCGGAACGCACTTTCTCAATTATACACGCAGTACAGGTCAAGTAAAGCCTACATTCTTGTCTTTGTTATTGTTAGTTTGTTTTTTAGATGCCTGGCATACAGTACATACAGTACATACCGTACTGTAAAGCGCTGCAGGCGTTACATGTGTCACATGTCCAGCTCAAGCCTCCCCCTATTCCGCAACACGCTCTCCATGAAGCGAGACTTGAATGACTGCCGGCGGTACAAAAAAGCGAGCCCACGCGACAGCTGAATCAGGATTCGTGAGTGAGCGGCAGAAGTTGGATCCGCGATTTCCTCCGGGTGACTCTTATGTAAGCTGCGCCGCATGGAACTTGAAAACAAGAGTGATAACCTGTCGGGTATCTCGACTAACTGATACCTGTTACTCAGCTCCTGAAAGTGCAAAGAAGGCAAAGAAAATACGTTTCGAGATTGCTCACTAGCGCAACCCAGTGGTGTTTACTTTTATTGTACCCTACCGAGGTTATATTTATATCAGAAGCTTGCAGCGCAGTAAAGGAGACCATAATGAGTAAATAATATTTACTTATTAGTATCAACAGCCAGGTCGATATAGCCATGTCCGTCTGTTCCGCTGTCTTTTCATCCCTTTCCACGGTTTTAAGAATTCTGCATGAAACTTTCCCAAGATTCTTGTTTCTATTGTACATAATATATAAGACGAAACGGATCCCTGTCATATCCCAAAGAAAAAAACTTTTCTACTTATAAAGTGTTATTTTTTAGTTTAATCTATATACAATTACTGCACGGGTATATAAGCTTCGACTTGCGGAGGATAGCTTCCGTTTTCTTTTCTCTTTATGTAATCTGCAGTATTTTAAATTGAAGCATTTAAGCACATTTAAACAACAGAAGAGTTCCCCGACCCGTTACTAGTGGAAGTGCTAACGAGAAATTTTAAAATTTTCTGTAATATCGGTAGAAGTTAAAAATAATTAAATTAAAAAAATTTTTTTTAATTTTTTAAAAGTGTGTCTATAAAGCGAATCTATAGAAATTTACAAGATATTTTTACACTTTTTGTAAAAATATCACAGTTTTCAAAAATGTGGGCGTGACAGCTTGGGCGTTTTATGAGCAAAAAGGGTTTTGACAAATCTGTAGAAATTTACAAAATATATAAACAAACTTAAAAAATAACACAACATTTTTCAAAACTGTGGTCATGACAGGTTCGTGCGGCTTGTGGGCGTTAGAGTGGGCGTGGCGGTATTTGGAAACAAGCTTGCGCTGCGTCTATGTCTCTGGATGCTGCATGCTTAATCTCAAGATTTCAGCTTTTGTAGTTCCTGAGATCGAGGCGTTCATACGGACATACGGACGGACAGACGGACATGGTCAGTTCGACTCGGCTATTGATCCTGATCAATAATATATATGGTCGGAAACTTTTCAACGAATATTGTATACCATTTTACTCTACGAGTAAAGGGTATAAATACACAATTACAAATTTGTCTTTTATATAAACAAATTTTAAAACTAAAAAAAACACGCGCAAAATAAAAAAAATTAAAAATGCAACGTGATTGCCAAGGGAATGTCATTACCTCCAAGCCCGGTATACATTTTTTTTAATTTACCCTGTGGTCCTTTGATGATTGTCGATTCTCAGTGTAGACCAAGAGAATATGAGAATATGATAAGTAAGACAAACACACAGGGCAGACACCAAAGGTCCTTTTGATGAATGTGTGTGTGCCTCTGAGTGTTGATCCTAAGTGCCACTCCCCTGCTACATTTCTCCTCCCCCAACACACCACGCACATTGTTAGTTTGGCGGAGACGGCATCGACGATTCTAGCGCTGAACTACGACCTCAAGTCACGACCCAATGCATATGTAAGCGTATTAAGGATGCTCCAGATATGTACACAGGCATCCGCACACAGATACAGCACTAACTGCCGTTTGGCCTGTGTCTATTTGTATGTAAATAAGCGCGAAGTATACAACATTGAGTATCTGCCCCATCGACGCCAAGAGCCACCAACCAAATATAACCCATGCTCAAGAAGTCTGTATGTGGGTCTACCCTAAAATATATGTCAATTTAAAAAAGAACGTCGCGATGCAAACGCATAACAAAACATTGAGAAGAAGGAAAGCTAGTTTCAACATGCCACTTTTGATATGCCCTTTATATATTATTAAAACAAGAGAATGTTATAGCCGAGTTCCCCGACTATCAGATACCCGTTACTCAGCAAGTGGAAGTGCGAAAAATCTCATACTTTTGTGGAATATCGGTAAAAATTGCGAAAATAAGATAAAACAAGGTAGAATACTATAGTCGAGTTCCCCGACTATCAGATACCCATTACTCAGCTAGTGGAAGTACAAACGAGAAATTTCAAAATTTTCTGGAATATCGGTAGAAATTGGGGTAAAAAAAATTTAAATGAAAAATAACTTAAAATTTTTTGAAAAGTTTGAGCGTGAGAGTTTTGTGCGCTTTGTGGGCGTGGCAAAAAGTTGTTTGACAAAAATATTTACCGATATATTTAAAAATGAAAAAATATCGCCCACACTTTTGATATTTTTTTAAATTTATTTATTTATTTTTCCAATATCTACCGATGTTCCAAAAAATGTTGAAATTTCTCTCTTTGTTTCTCTCTTATTTAAAATTCGTCCGTCGCTCTTTACGTAAAAACGTCTACTACAGAAAAGAATTCCACTGAAGTTTTATTAAAAAAAAGTTGCTGATGAAATGGTAAATTTTCTGTTAAGGCTCTGATGTAATTCTGGATTTTAATGTTTTATGCAAGTTTAAAGACTTACTTTATTGAACTTTTTTTATATACATATATAAATATGCATTAACGGACGTGTCACGCAATAGTTTACCTAAGCTAAAGCTTATGAGCCTTAAATAAAATCAATTGTAAAAGTTACACTAGTTCGGCTTAAGATTTAACAAGAAATTCAAGCGTAAATTTGGTACAAACCAAAAAACATTCGATTTGCTCGACTATCAGATACGCGTTACTTAGCTAGAACGAGTGCCGGAGAGATGTTTCAAAATTTTGTTGGCATAGCGATAGAAATTGGGAAAACAAATAATGAAATGGAAAAAATCAAAACAGTTTTCAAGAGTGTGTGCTTGGCAGCTTTGGGCGTTAGCGTGCGTGTGTTCTGAAACAAACTTGCACAGGCATCACTAGAATATGCATGTTCAATCTCAATGTTCTAGCTTCCATAGTTCTTGAAATTACAACGTGTATACGGGCAGACCGACCAGGTTAAATCGACTCGGCTAGTGATCCTCATCAAAATTAATTTATAGGTTCGGAAAAACTTTCTTTTACCTGTTACTGTTGTATAGCCTTTTCCATTCCTTTACATAAAAACATAATGTATACCAAATAAATATTCTACTTGATGACAAACAACAGAACTATGATTTCTTTTTCAGTAATTAGCTAGTAATTGCTCCAATGGCAGCTTTACGATACTGTCATAGGTTGACTAAATAATACCGAACTTATATATTGTCAAAAATTTGATTCCGTACTACAATTAGAACATTTTATTATAAAAAAGCAACGAAGATACTTTTTTTTGTTAACTATTCATTTGGCCAAACTATGATATTGTGGTTCAAAACGGTCCGTTCCGTTCTTATGTACAACCTAAAACAGAAAGATACCTTTTGAGAAGTATGAGATACAAGTTTGTAGATAGCTTTAAGACAGAGAGACTAGTTTGCGTTGATACGGAAGGACGAACATGGCTATGTGGTCTTCTGACTGAATTCAACATTCCCTCTGCATTCCGTATAGATGCAATCTGTTGATTACGTATTCAGTATTATCAAAATGCAGGTAGATGTTCCCAGTGGGGAATATTATATTGGATAATTGATAATTGTCTTAATCAAGATTTAGAAAAGTAAAATTGAAGCCTACCCTGGTGGTATTGGGTATAATATGAACATAGAATTTTTGGCCACCTTTCAACTATAGTTGTAGTATAGAAAACGATCCTAGAATAGTTGGGCAGCGGATATAAAATGCGCACCAAAGAATGATTAACTTACCATTTAATCAATCAATCTAACTCTAATAGTTTTATACGAATGCAATCCATTATTTTTATTTTCTTCATTGAAAGAGTTAAGAATATGTGCGACAATGCAATTTTTTAGCGATTGACTCCTAAATATTGGAAGATCACTTCTGGGGTTTATAATCGATATTTTCTTAAGGTCTGATCTCCACAATTTATCATTTCGATTTCGATCCATTGGTCGGCTTCTAAATTGTTTTATTTCCGGTGGACCAATTGGTAAGTGAGCTTCAAGGGGTTTTTGTGTATGTTTTCGAGGCCGAGGCCTTGCTTTTGTGCAACATTTTCGCCTTCGATTTGTCTTTCTCGCCTTTTCACATCCCGGGCTGCAGGGTCCTCCGGGACCACCAGGACCTCCAGGTCCCCCTGGACCTCCAGGGCCTCCAGGTCCGTTTGGACCACCGGGTCCTCCAGGTCCTCCGGGACCCCAAGGCATGCCGGGTCCGCCCGGTCCACCAGGTCCCCCAGGACCGCCAGGACCCCCAGGACCGCCAGGTCCACCTGGACCCATGGGACCTCCTGGGCCATTTGGTCCACCTGGAGCCCCCGGCCTTCCGCACACGCCAAGCTCAGAAGATGTTGAGGAACTCGCATGGATTGGTGAAGAAAAATGTAAGCTCTGAGTTGACATTGATGGGCTTGGTATGTCGATTTTTGAGTAAGATGTTGTGATTGGGGAAGCTTGACTTATTGATGATGGAGCTGTTGAAATTTTAAAATTTTTCGCTATTGGGGAAGTTGTCCTTAGACTTGTCAAAGTTGGAAATGTTGATATTGTAGACGGCGCTGTTATTGTAGAAATTGTGCCTTGAAATCTTGACGTTGAAGTTGTTGTCATTCTGGGTGTCGTGGTTACCGAATAAGTTGTGCTTTGGCTCTTTGCAAATAGCGTTGAAACGCCCTCCGTTTGTGTCGTCTCTTGTTTCCCCTCTAATACTGGGTCACCGGGGCACTTGCCGCCTGGCTGACACCAACCACTTCCAAGGCAATAAGCCCCCAAAGGCTGTGGACAATGCTGGCCTGGCTTGAACCAACACTTTTTCGGCGGGATGGGCACATTGCATCCCGGTATCCAAGGGGGGCAATGCGACGTCGGACGGTTGTAACACCCTGGCCTCCAAGAGGGACAGGTTTCGGTTCTCCTGAGATCGCAAGGGTCTTTTTGGATCAAGTCGCATATGTCCAGAAGCTCTTTTTGAAGCTGATCCATAGTCTTTAAGACGGCCTCCTTCTCGGCCGCAACAATCCGCCTCTTTGCCTCCGCCAATTGGGAAACCGATACAGGGTGAACAGTTTTGTTATGAGCGTGAACAGCCAGTTCATGAAATATACGGTATTTTAGCCTTCGTTCAACATCACCAAGAAGTGCCCTAGCTGTGAACAGAAGAGCCCACACCAGGAGCACTTTATGAGCAGCACATGGTGCGTTGCGATGGAATAATCAGTATCTTCGTAGAGCTACGACAGCATTTCACGTACCATAAAAAAGCGCAGCATACACCATTGTGATTGCCTCTATCACTCGTACTGGAGTTTTAAAAGTACTGTGTTTATTTTATTAATTTTTAATATTTAATGTGTTGATTTCCGCGGTCGGATTTGTACTAATGCGCTTGGACACAGTATTTGTATGTCTGCATATGGAGTTTACTCCTTGTTTACTCTACATGTAAAGTACAATTAATGTCAAAACTGCAAATGTTAACTGTTAACTGTATTATAGGTATGAAAATGAAACTAGCTCACCTTTTCGGCTTACGTGCCTTAATATCTGGCTATTAGTCAGTATAACTGACTATCGAAGTGCGGAAACATCTTTGATCCTATACATAGTATGCAAACACCATCCATCATTAACAAAAGCTTGCAGTGACCAACAGTTTTGAAGCTCCACCATTTTAAGGCTCTTTGAGTTGAAATGCAGTCTTACAGATTTCCGGGTAGAATATTTAACTACGCCTAGGCACAACAAAACAGGGCCATCAATCATTTCCGGGCAATCGGGTGACAATGCCCAGGCTAAGGACCCACAGAAGACGCCCACGAGGCGGCTTTTTAATTCATAAATGAAGGTCCTCATGTTGATGAATAGAAATATTGCCGCTCCAATGCGCCACGCAGGTAATCAACCATCAAATTGGCGGGGGAAGTGAGTGAATAAGGGAATGGACTGAACTTGCTGCTTTAATTTGCTTGAAGGCGGAGGTTATGTTCATGTGGGCGTGACTGCCTTATCAAATAAAGTAATGAAAGCAAATAAATCCAGACCGAGTTGGTTGAGAAAACGGGAAATATTATATGTAAGCCTGCAAAATGTTTATTTAGGCACATCAATTCGTGGACTCTTCAATTGTGATGGCGGCTTGCAGCCAAAAATTCAGCCCTAAAGTATGCTTAGGTTGTCAATTTTGTTTTTTCTCTTTTTTTTTACAATCTGTCTTAAACAAATAAATTTTATAATTAATCTTAAATTAACAGAGGCAGTAGTTATCCATACATACTCTATGCATAACATATTTTAATACATAATACCTGTCAGGGAGATCTAGCACATGAAATCTTGTAAGTCTTCTGAAGTTATTATTGTTATTTGCCAAACTTAAGACTAAGTTATTTTCATGGGTTCTTAGTCTGTCTATATATTTTTTACTATGTTCTGCTATTTCTTCTTTAACATAAGGGATTCCTAAGTCTTTATGGATACTTGCATTTGAGATATAAAATGGAGCTTTAACAATTTGTCTTAATATTTTTGATTGGTAGTAATTGGTAGATTGGTATAATCTCAATATTTGAGTTACTGGCAGTACCCCAGAGCTGTATGCCATAGGTCCACACTGCCTTTATGTATAGCTTTGTATAAACGGACTTTTTTTTCCAGAGTGGTTGCAAAATGTATACCTCAAAATTGTGGGGTCAAAAGGCATTTTTCAAAGTTTATAAAATGTCTTTGGGATTACCCGGCGAATTCTATTATTTTTCCAGGGGGTTGCCTCTACTACATCTAGCAGATTGCAAGCAAATTTAAAATGATAAATTCTCTTGTCTCCCTTTTCTTGCAGGCAGCCACTGCAAACTGCGAGCCATTGAAACACAATTATGCCAAATTAGAAAAGGGCTGTGTCAAAGTTCGTCAGCATCAACAATCAAGGTACTAACAACAAATGCTGCTGCAACAACGGCATCCGCTGGCCCCGCAAAATGTAATTGGCCAAGGGCGTGGAACTGGAAAGGGCCCACTCAGCTTGGCAGTGGGCAACAGTCAACGACAACAGCAACAGCAATACCGCTAAACCGCAACAGTCGACCTCAGCAGCAGCATCAGGGCACCAAAAACAAAATACGCAACATAAATGAAGTTAACAACCTGTCAAATTGCTAAATTACTTCCGGTAACAGCCTTCTTCCTCAATTCTCCGATCGCAGCCTCCTTCTCCTTCAGCGCGAGTCCCACCTCCGCCTCCGCCTTCAGATCCTCGTCCTCCCACTCCCACTCCCACTCGGAAAGGCCCCACCGCTCGGATGTACTTGTCCTGCGAGCGGCCGAGCCAGTCGGAGCCTTTGCTACTAACGCAGTTGCGGCATCAGCAACACTTGGCAGCAAGTCAATTCAGCTGACAGCTGTACAAACAAAGAGTCCACGTAATGCGCGTGAAGCTGGACGTCAGGAACGTCAAATGCAACAGCCCGCAATCCAGCAGCAACTTAATCCCCCGCAGCAACATCAAGGACGACAGCAGCAGCAGCCGCAGCAGCAGCCGCAGCAAAAGCGAGTGCAGCATCAGATGCAACGAGTGGGCGTTTTAATTCCTGCTTCGGTGCACGTTAACTTGACGCATGTGCAACAGGGCTTCCAGCATTTCCTCGACTTTTTCCAACTGCATTTATCTAATGTCACCGTCGATTTCCTACGAGATGTGGGTGAGTACACACAAGCCAAAAAACATGCCCATCAGAACAGGGCCTTGTTTGTTGCCCCAGCCCTGAAAATCCCGCCGACATGCATTTAGACATCTTGTTTTATCGTTTTATCGATGGTTTGTGCTCAAGTTTCCCTCGCTCTTCCGCTCCTGCTCGCAGATTTCCACACGAGTCGTGGGCTGTAGGTGCCATCATCATCATCTTTATGAAGATGGATTGGTCGTCTGTTTGCTGGGGCCAAATGTTTGCTGTTATAGGAAACTTTGCCAATAGGTGGAACGCTCAAAATCTAGGGCATTAATTGCATTTCAAGTTATCTGACTCAAGTCCAATCTCCACATTGTAGCCCCTGAGGCGGGAATCCTTGGCATTACAGTCCTAGGAGACGAGGGGCACCGACCACCTGAGATCTCAATTTGCATGCATTACGCCTTGATTTCTTTTCTTTGCTACTCTGCCTTTTCCGCTAACATAAATAACTCTCATTTCGCAAGCAAATTTAAACAAATTCAAGCACGTCCTGCCTTTGACTTTTCTTTACTTTGAAGGGAGCTGGAGCGCAGCCATTCAACTTTCCCGTATTTTTCAGCATAAGTTTTCACTTTAATTATGCGTCCTTTTTCGCTACTCTGGCTTCAGAAAGATATTTACCCTGCATGTGACAGCTTACAATCTCCGGTCTAGAGCTTTCATTTTTTAGAACTTTGTTAAGTCTTTGTGCTAGTTTCGATACCATAAAGATGCAGCTTTAAAATGATTAGTAGCTGTCTCTGCTGGGATATAAATTGCAGCATGCGAAGTAGCCAATCAATCTGCACATTTTGTGAGCTCTTTATATCTTATTTATATCTTTATCTTTATAACCTATATATGATAAGGTAGGGGCCGTATGCAACTAGGATCCCTTTCAATATTTATCAAAACATACAAAAACTACGCAAATGGAATTTATTTTTTGCGGAATGCAATCGTTACGTTAGTTTGGTTTGCAAATTGAATTTCGTTGTCGGCCACTTAAATACATTTAGACGGCTGTTGGAGTGAGCAAGTTTAACCTCTTTTTTATGACACCTTCGAGGCAACCCCTTAAATTAAATATATCAAACTTAAGCTGCTTGCCTTCCGAACAGCACAAAATTGCAGAAGACGCCCTTGTTTACTCTAAATAGATGAAATAGAATAAAAGCTAAGGTAATTGGGCCAATAGTCGGACGCAGCTAACTTTTCAGTAGAAGTGCCACCGAGGGCGTGGATTCAGTTTCAGCTTAAAGCGAATTTTATGGATTCATTTTATTCAATTATATACTCATTTTGGATTCAATCATATGGTGCAGGTTTGGTAATAATGGCAAAAAGAGTATTCCTTTCCGATCGACAAGGTATTCATCACTACCTAAAATGTCCCAAAAGTCTCCCTTTCAGTCGGAACTGAAACTAGCAGCATTATGATACATTTCAAAGTGTCTGTACCTATATATTGATTACATATTATAACTGATTCACGAAGCTAGCGACCATTCTTGTTGTAATACAGTTTAGTCAAGGTAAAATGGGGAAAATCACAAGCCATCACTCAATTTACGGAAGAATGTGCTTGACTGCAGGTCCAAATTTGGAAAAAATCTGTGCAATATAACTTTAGCTGTCCCAAGACAATGTCTCAATTTACAGAGAGCTTTACTCGCCGAAAGAAGTTGCAAATCGCGGTTAGAAAAACTCAGCTTCTGAGCAGCAATTCATGGATTTCGGCACCTCGATTTGGATTTGGTAAATCACGGGCTGCTTCTCCTTGAGCAGAATCTTAGGCTGAAAGGCATGTAAATCACCCTATCCATAACCCTATCCACTTTTTGGATACTTGGCAGTTTCTCGAGATGCCGAGAATACACAGAAAACCACTTGAAGAGCTCAGCTCCACCACGAAGCGATGTCGATTTAGCTATTTTAAAACCATTTATAACAAGAGAGCAAAATACCTTCGGCCACTCGAGGCTTATACGTATAGCCCTGCAGTAATTATACTTTTAAAAAACATTTAAAGACGCTATGATCTATAATTTTCTATCATTTTCCACTCATATATCAACTACTACGGAGCTATTTAATATATTCCTATTTGATCAAATTAAAACCGAAATTATATAGCCAGTAAATTGGTGTATTCGGAATTAGAACAACGAGACTATTTTCAGTTTATAACATATTCTAAGCTTGTTTGACCAATGTCGGTAGGGATACTTTAAGGATGTTTTTATTTTAATGAGAATAAATTGCCCCCGAAAGCTTAGGTTATTCATAAGTACTGTTATCCTTTTAACGGGTTTTATTTTAAATCGCTCTTCTTTGGCATCACTGGCAGATTTTGCTTGGATGCCAGCATCAGCAGTTGCAGAAACTAAAATGCTTGAGCACATACCCACATACACTGGCAGAAAAGCGTACTGCAAAAGCTTAAATATGCACAACTTTTTTATGCGCCACATAAAATGTTTCTCTTTCCTTTTTCTTCCCGCTGATGAAAACAACGTTGAAAACAACGGCGCCCAGACCTAAGCGGCTTCATTAAATTACTCGAGCTGCCCAAGTACACGAGCGTTATAAAGACTTTAAATGCGGGCATTATGGTAGACAGCGACGTGGACCAAGATGCCGATATGGACGTTGACACGCCCAGCCAGCCACGTCAGCAACAGCAGCTGCATTCGGAGCAGGAGCCACATCGTCATCATCATCAGGACTCCAGAGCAAAACAAGCTCTAGTGGGCGAGGAGGAATCCCATTCATCCGGCGAGACCGGGGAAAATCATTGGAACGACGCCCGCAGCTTCTCGGGTCACTGTCATCAGCTGGCTGAGCAACTTGCCCTCGACTTCAACAAGACCGTTGTCCTGTGGCCCTGTCCGCGAATGAAAGTGAGTACGTCCTTAGTTTAAGACTGCTGACTCACAATAATAATGAAACGGGAGCTATGCCGAATGTTTCAATGGATGCACGTTAAATGGGAAACCCAATCGAAATGGATAGCTAAGCACATCCGATCTTAATGCAACGGAATTTTATTCTCTAATAAACTTTACTGTAGCTGAGAATTTAAATCAGCTTCTTATTTTATTCAGCGCCTTTCATATATGTATTCGTCACTAAGCTGGCGCCGGCCACACTAATATGAGGGTTGCCAAGGTTGCCAGGGCTGCCAAAAAAATTTGTTGTGTTAATTAAGGAGAAATTTGGGCAAATAACTTAGATCCTGACCCGAAACAGCCACAGGCACTTTGCAGTAGCAATTTATAATTTGCAAAACAATCTCAAAACACAAAAAAGGAGAAAGCTCGCACCACAAAAGTGCATCAAGTCAAGTCCGTTGCTGTGTGCCCGAGATGCAGCAAACAGGAAATGGAATTCCTAGCCAAGGGCTACGGAATATGCTTTTCGGAGGGGTTGAGTGCGGCGGGAACTATCCAAAATATGCTGCGAAATTGCCTGATGAAAGTCGACGCTGGCATGAAATTACTTCTTGTGGCAAGTGTTGCCCTTCGCTCGCCATCTGCCCAACTCCAGCAAACCTTCACCTGCCGGTTCAGTTTACGCCTACAAGTGCCTGAAGAATATCTAGCTTAATCCGCCAGCATTCTTCTACTTGGCCAACTGTCAGACAATCGTGCGACGTAAAGTTGTGATCGTTACTTTGCACATTTTATGAACCCGCCAGCGTGGCGTTCATTTTTTGTTGACATTTGATTGACAAGAGCTGAGCGAAATTTCTACGAAAGTTTGACAATTTATAGAGGTTGTCAGCAAAGTTATTAATTAAAAAATGTGTGCACGAAATGCACTGACGAACTGAAGCCAAACAAGATAGAATGGTACAGTCGAGTTCCCCGACTATCAGATACCCGTTACTCAGCTAGTGGAAGTGCGAACGAGGAATTTTATAATTTTCTGGTAAAAATTGGATAATAATTAAACATGACAAAAAAAATTAAAAATTTTTCAAAACTGTGGGCAGTTTTGTGCGGTTTGTGGGCGTGACCAAATTTGGAAAGGCTGCGTCTTTGGTCTATGCCTCTGGAAGCTGCATGCTTAATCTCAACATTGTAGCTTTTGTAGTTCCTGGGATCGAGGCGTTCATACGGACAGACGGACGGACATGGCCAGATCCACTTGGCTATTGATCCTGATCAAGAATATATATAATTTTCAACGAATTTATTATACCGAGTAACGTGTATAAAAACTGAACTGTACTACGTAAAAAACTAGTAACGTTTGCTCCTTCAGCATAGAAACGATCTGTTTTCAGTTTTTGTGACTAAAAAATCATTTTGCATTTGAATCAACAAATACACAATATACTGTACTTAGCGTACTGAAGCGTATAGGTCAACCTAATGTAACCGGGCTACTCCATATTTTGATAAAGCATGTCGTAGAAGTAATTTCGTTACCCCGCTCGTCCTCGGGGGAAGTATTAAAATTGAATTTTGGCACTAATGAGAATCTGCCTTTCGCTTGTGGAATTTCCGTAAATCGATTTCTCAGCGTTTGCATGGAAGGGAATCACGGATTTCGAAGCAGTATTAACGAAAACAATTTATTAAAAACTGAATATCTTGAAACTCCAATAGCCATGCATAAAGCGTAATAAAATGTTACGCCGCTTTTTACGGTGGCACTTTCCATTTCAGAGTCCTGCGAAAGTAAACTCCATCGTGAGTCAACACACAAGCGTAATTAAGTGCACCGGGTTGTATCCTTTTTCTTTGTTTGATGTTTTCATGCTAAGCAAAGCTTGCAGCACATCTGCCAGCATGTACCAAACAATCCTCTCTCCTGCAACTTGCCAATTCATTGCAGTTTTCTAAAAGCTTTGCTGTTCCATTACCCACCCGACGTATACGTAATATTTCACTGTACATTATACCGAAACTGCAGCTTTGCTTGCCTTTTTATCAACAGCAGCTCCATCGCTAGATGGAGGACGAGCTGAATTCGCCTTTTTATTATGATGTTGTCATGTTAAGGTCAATGCTCTGTCTGATGGTCCACGTCCCCATGTGAGTAGCATGCGAAGATAAGCAAAATGTGAAATATTCCTCATACTTTAAATTCGAATGTACATTGTTATACCCGTTACTCGTAAAGTAAAGGGTTATACTAGATTCGTTGAAATGTTTGTAACAAACAGAGGGAAGCGTTTCCGACTTTATTCTTTTTCAGGATGGATAGCCGGTCGATCTGGCCTTGTCCGTCTGTCCGTCCGTTTGTCCGTATTAACGCCTCGATCTCAGGAACTATAAACGCTAGAGAGTTGAGGTTAAGCATACAGATTCCAGAGACTTTTACCCTACAAGTAACGGAAATATAATACAAATCTTTTTTAATATTCTTTAAAAATGTATTTTTTCTCCTTCTTTAGTTGTATTGACTAATCTGCCTACTATTGGTTATTCTCATATTTGTTTATTTTTCACAATTATAGACACCCACCTAATGTTGTCAATTCCATTGGTAGTCAGAACGGATGTCATCGTTATCAGTGATGCAGCTTGTAGCCTGCTTTGCTATTGTTGTCAATTGTCAAGCTGATTGAGTGAAAGGCAAATGCTTTGTGGGGAAGCAGAAGGTCAGGGATGGATGGATGGCATTCAGAGTCCTGGAATCCACTCTTCGTCCTTGATAAACTGCAGTGCCAGCTGACGGCATGAATGAGTGAATCACTGCTTGAATGAGTGACTGACGGACGGACTGAATCGACTGACTGAGATAAATGGTAGTCGTCCCAGATTGGCAATGCATCGATGCCGAGAAGGGTTTCTTTTAACGATTAGAGTTTAGATGTATCCCATCACCCGTATCCCATAGAACGCCATTTAATTGAAATGCTGCATTAATCTTCATTTACTTGTTTTCAAGCTTGTCATGTCTGCGGGCTTGGAGAAGTTGTAAGCTATATCAAAGATACGCAGTGTCAAAGTAGAGATTCTGTGCAAATTAAAATATAACAAGAGAGAGTGCTGTAGTCGAGTTCCCCGACTATTAGATACCCGTTACTTGGCGAGGAATTTCAATTTGCGTCTATGACTATGGAAGCTGCATGCTTAATCTCAACCTTGTAGCTTTTGTAGTTCCTGAGATCAAGGCGTTCATACGGACAGACAGATCGACTCGGCTATTGACCCTGATCAAGAATATATATACTGCATATGGTCGTGGTTTACTCTGCGAGAAACGGGTATAAAAATATCAAAAGTGTGAGTTTATGGGTCTATATCTCAACTTTCTATCTTGTATAGTTCCTGAAATCGGGGCGGTCATACGGGCAGACGTAATTACAATAAGCAGTAGGAGAGAATATGTTTAAGGCACGCATCCATTTATTTTTGTTCCTTATTGTGAAATATACTTATATATGAATAAAAAATAAAAAATAATACTTTCGTCCTGAGCATAAAATTTAGAGTCCGTGATTCAACCAACGTGTTTGTATTATTTTTTCCAACACTGTATTTATAAGCGGTTGGTCAGCTTGAGAATGCTGACTCCGCATTTAAGCCGCTTCGATCATGAGTTAGGCTTATGTTCCTTGCAATTATGTTTTATTTAATTTGTTTATTAATTTATTTTATTATTATTTATTATTTTGTATTCATTTTGGGCTCTTGATATATGCGCCTAATACAGCACATGGACTTGACCCCTGATCTTCTTCATTGCAAAAGCATAGACATTATTTGGAAATGCCTTTTCAAGTACTTATTGCACAAGTATCTAGTCGCAGGTGATCGGAAGTTATATGCGTACGAAATGCAGCACTTTTTTAACTGTTTTCCGGCTGAACTGTCGGGGTTTTCCAAAAGTGGTACTTCTACTTCTAAGGTATCTCATTTCGAGCTAATTAACAGAAAAACATTGTTTTACAAATTTAAAATTTATATATTATTATTAAATGTTTAATTTAAATGTATTTTAAAAAATATATTTTCAACGGATCTAAAAGGATTTAAACAAATTTTAATTTTAATTCGACTTATATTTTTAACAAGAATTTTGTTATATTTTCGTGGGTATACTAGATGTATACTAGATTCTTTGGAAAGCATGTACAGATTTTCCGATCATATATATCATTTATTTCTTATATATGATCAGAATCGCTAGCGCAGTCGCTAGTTAAGATACCCGTTAATCTGACAATGAAAGTAAACTACAATAGCGTTCTCCCATGTTTTAAAATTGTTAAACTGTTCCTCGACTAACAGTAATTTGCGGCCATATTATTATTTTCTGGCATTTTCCCATTCCTTTTGTACTATATGAAAATATCAAAAGCAGAGCAGTTATTTCAACCTTTATTTAAAGTGGTTTCACTGCTTTGCCAGCTACTAACCAAAACCACATTATTCAAGGATTCAAGAATATTCCAGAAGTACAGCCTTGTCAGCTTCATTTGCTATCCACAATTTGAAGTTTATGCATATGTTTAACAAAAAGATGTTTAGTTTTAATTTTCTTTATTTAAATCGGCAGCTAGCTAAATTATATCTGTGGACCATCTTTCGGAAGACAGGTCACAGTTAGTGGATCAGAAATCAGGGAACCCTAACGGTAACTTTTCAGACAATCTGGTAACAGCCAACGAAGGTTGGGCTAAGTGGCGGGGTCATAAAACGTTTTTGCGTCGCTTTCTACATTAATTGCTTTCGTCGCCCTTCCTTGGGGGAACAGCAATTTGCATAAAAATCATAATAAATTCAATGATGCTTATTTTGCAAGAAACCATCTCGGTCTCGCTACACGTTTTCTCCGCCATTTTCAGCCTTTATTTCGCCGAAAGAGCCGCTCATAAAAAGGCTGCCGGCTCAAAGAGGTTGCCACTTAGGCACCGCTCAATTATTCATAAAGTTGGCCCAACAAAACAAGCACACACGTGGCCCAAAAGCGAGGGCTTAATTGTCACAAAGAGAGCTCCAGGGGCAGCGGACCATCAGAAATTAAATCGTTTTACAGGCAGTCACTTAAATCACTTTATATGTTTATATAGGTAGAGCAAAGCCCTCCTGAATCTGGCAACCATCCGTCTTTGCTGCCATCTTGGTCGTAAAATATTATGAACTGGCTTAAGCAGGCTCAGTACTATATTTATTGAAAGTTCCACTTAATACATCCTTAATACATACTTAATACAACTACATACACAAAAAAATCAAATACTTTCAACATTTTGTTCAAAAGTGTGGTCATGACAGCTTGGGCGTTGGTGTGGGCGTGGCCAAACTTTTTGGAATGCCAAAAAAATGCCACTGCGTGACAGTTTGTGGTCGTTTGAGTGAGCATCTTATGCCGCGTCTATATCTCTGGAATCTCAACTTCCTAACTGTTAAAGTTCCTGAGATCTCGACGTTCATGCTGACAAACAGACGGACAGACAGTGCAGGTCGACTCGGCTAGTGGAGTGATCAAGAATATATATGTATACAGTAGAATCCGGTTATAACGACTCCGCTTATAGCGTCAGTCCGGTTATTGCGGCGGAAGCTCGATGGCTTTGTTGGTCCCCATACAAAGTTATATGAAAGGACTTCCGGTTAGTACGTCTCCGCTTTTAGCGACAAACCGCTTATACCGACGAGATTTTTCATAATTCAACCGGATATTGCGACGTGCCGGATATACAGAAAAATATTTACAATAATTTAGAGTAATTATTTAAAATAATTACAAATAAAAAAAAAAGATTATTAATTACGCAGAGCGTGCGTGTGCAGACATCATGCCTATATTCCATGAGATGTCCCGTTATATTTCTGGTTTTTTCTCCTTTTTTCAATAAATTTTAATGCGTAAATTCGCCAAATGTGAGTTAATGCACTAAATGCGCATGATGATCTCATTCAGTTTAAGCTCGACACTTGTGCATTAGGCCCACAAAAAAACGAAAATGCTTCTCCGTCGAAGAAAAAATGAAATTATTCGGTGTTTGGAAGCTATGGAAAACCCATGCTATTCAAATAAATTTATTAAATTTTTTGTTTGATTAAAAAATTAATTTGTTTTATGTTAAAACATATTACGAACATGGCAACCATAAAATAATCAAAATAATCAAAAAAAAATTTTTCATCTTTCTGTTAGTGCGTCTTCCGGGTATAACGACGTAAAATCGTCGGTCCCTTGAAGGTCGCTATAGCCGGATTCTACTGTACTATGTATGGTGGGAAACGCTTCCTTCTACCTGTTACATAATCTTGAGCGAATCTAGTATACCCATTTACTCTACGAGTGACGGCTATAAAAATACAAATCGCTACAGTAGGTTCCTCGACTATCAGGTAGTGGCACGGATATTATATGTACAAATACAATTCAAGAACAACAAAATTGCCGTCTCCTTGACAAAAGTAGTACATATATCATTTAGGAGTATTTCCTTATTCTTGGAAATTAAATTGATTGGACAACAATTTGTTGTTTACAATTTGTCCAGGCCTTAAAACAACGCGTGAGCACTAAAACTATATTAATTGAGGACCTTCTGAAACCTCAAACATTTCCATCGGCATTGTCGGCTCGGGAATGGTTGAAATAATGACCCTGCTCTGGGATCTTAGCCCGATAGTCCATTTAGAACAATTCTGCTCCACCTGAAGTGGAGTTTGGGGTTATATGCTATATCATTCATCATCAACATTCATCGTTGAAAAATAAATAAGTCCTCCTGGTACCACCGGTATTTGTGTGACCAAAGCTGTAGATGTTCCAAGCATTGAAACCGCTGAAGAGAGCAAATCCTGGCAAGGGCATCACGTTCGCGTGTGACTTACACATGTGTGTCGGCAAGGATGACGGCCAGGAGGGAGCCGGTGATACTTCGCTTGTGAAACTATATAGCACCTTCTAGACTGTTGCATTAAGACAACCACTTCGGCCTGAAAAGGAGCCATATACGCCCAGACTTCATTGTTGGCTGGCTCCTTCTGTGACGTCTTAATGGGTTTGGTACAGCCGCACATCCTGGCCATTTATCCTTGGTTAAATAACAGCAAATTAAGTGCCCGCCTCCAAAGTTGCTGCTCCTTTTATTGTGTATTGATAATAATGACGGCTTCATTTTATCTCGCAAGCCCAGCTGTCGGCTGTTTCTTATTGAAAATGAATAATCGTCCAAAGCTTGCCAGCTGCCGCTGAAAACAGCCAAAAAACATTTATCTGCAATTTTGTATCGATGAAGTTTCCCTTTTTCCTTGCGCCGGGAGGTATTTATAAAATATTGGCATGCAACACTTTACTCGTATAAAACTGCGTTCATGTTCTCTTATCCTTGCTATCGCATTGCCAGCCTTTAATCAGGGACACTTTTAATAAGCCCACGGTATTTCACAAATTATTTCAGGCTCGCCACGCACAAATAGAGGTCAGCACAAATTACCAATTGATATGCACACGCCCCTAACTAAATTATTAACAAGTGAATACATTTTAGCGTTGTGTTAGGTAGCGAGATTTAATATAAAATATATAATATAATATATAACAAAGAGGTCGCTTGAGTTGAATGGGGATAAGCCAAGCATCTGCGAGTTGGAGGTCCCCGAAATCTGCAAAGGAGGCTGGCAAATGTCAAATATTTGCTGAGCTGTGATTAATGTTGATTCTTTTTTTGGCTCTTGGCTCCTTTGCATAACATTTCGGCTGCGAACTAGCAGCAATTCACCTGCGAGTGAATGCCGTGGAAAAAATAAATCAAGGATACATACGAAAAGCGAAAACCGAAAAGCTCAGGGAAAACAAATTTCCCGCCCCTTGACAATAGTCATATATAATGTAGATGGATTTCCTTCTGCTTGGAGAATGAACTAATTTAATTGGACAACAACTTGTTGGTTAACCATTTGTCCAGACCGTAAAACAAAGCCTGAGCATCTTACAACTATAATGAATTCCCACTTCTCCCCAATTTCCTTTCATTTCTAACTGCACTTGGGGAAATTTAAAGGGCGTCGCAGCAGGAGACTACCGTCAATAGTTGTCCAAAATGCAATTCGATGCCGAATTGTTGCAATTGCAATGGAACCCAATGCGAAAGTTTTTGAACTTTGGCACTGCTATTGTTGGCCAAAACGAAAACTTGTAAACAATGCCATTTACCGGCTCATTTAGGCACTATTCCATTATTCCACAGGGAAAATATAGTATATCAATATTAAGTTTGTTACTCAACACTAATAAAACTACTAGCAAGTGCAGTAATGCTATCAGCAAATTATTTAAAACCGAAAAAGGAAAGCAAAAAAAAGAAAATGTTAAAATAATCGGAACCTTTCAGTTTAAATTATTACCCACAATCATAACGATATTTATCTTTTGCTTAGATTAAATTTGCTTTAAATTAAAATTTGTAAATCAATCCGCCTAAACGTATTTTCTCAGACGTTTTTTGAACCTATTGGGCCTGCCAAAATAATGAAGAAGTCAAACGGCCATCCAAGAGGCAGGTGTCCTGCAAACGAGAACAGAAAAAGGCACCCTCGGCAATCCGAATCTAGTATACACTTGCAGCAGTTTTACATTAAACAAAAAACTGGGGAACTTTTCTTTCTTTCTATATACATGATTAAAACGTGTCATGATCGAACAGAACAAGCAAGGTTTCTTTTTCATTAATTATTAATTAAATGCATCCATACTATACTACTAAATAGAAGAAAAAGTGAGATACTTGCAACGGATACTCGGTTGTGGATACTGGCCCAGAATATATGTTCATCATATGACCGAGACATTGGCGACATATGACTCCATCGCGCTGCAAACTCCAGATTGAAACGATATACCCTCTCCTAGGGTATAACAAGCTTTCAAAGGACAAAGCTAAGTCTGAGGCAGTACCCGCCACAATCGACGAACCCAGAGGTGCCCCTTATCAATGCCATTGCAAATCGAATTTCTGCGTCCAACTTCCAGGGAGTAAAGACCTTTTGTGCTCGAGCACGACAATGATTACGACGGTGGAGGGGTCACAAAGGATAAAGGAGCAATATAGGATTCGGCACGAGTTATTGATTAAAGTCTGTTGTTTGTGAACGCTTCACTGAAATGCCCTGATTAGACGTGATTGAATTGTCTGACCATCAGAATTCGTGAGGTTTCGAGTATTGAAAGTTCGCATACCTATTAAAGACTGAATTACCGGACATTTTCCAAAGGTCAAAGGTTAAACATTGTTTTCTTAGTACCTTCCGCAGTCATTCGACTCAATATGTTAATTTTCTCGCTTTAGACCCACATCTCCTCTTTAATTCATTATAAATTTATTTGTTAAATAGTATTCGTATTCTGTGAATCACGTAAGGCTAATGCAGAATAATAAGGCACCTAACTGGTATACCCTTTACTGAGTACTCAGTACTGAGTAATGGTTGCGTACACTTGTATATATCCCCAATTACACAAGCAATTGCCAAGCTTTAAAATACCAAGTAAGTCTCAGTGTATACTCAATCCACAAGATGCAGCCCACGCGCAACTTCCCATTGTAGAATTTCCCCGCCATTATTTAATTGCTTGAGCTTTCAATTTGTTTCACTTAAACAAACAAGGCAGCTGAGCACAAGAGTTTGTGTTTAGCTTCTCCTTTTGCAGCCCACTGGTGGGCTGATTTCGAGGACGGAAATACAAAATCAGGGAATAATATATAGAAATCAGAGTAAATGGTAAGGGAATCTGGGTTGAAGGCGGAGAAGAGTTAGGTGAATGGGCCAGTTTACCTCCTAGTTGTGCATTTATAAGACGGCGGAAAATCTTTGGTCTAACTTTTAACTGTTTCATTTTTACAGATATCCAGCAATTTTCTGCCATCCTTCGAAGCAATTTCCCTAGCTGTGCAAAGCATTTCCAGCAAGTTGAACTTTTCGCAAGTTGATATCTATATTGGCGGTAAGTAATTTTCCCTGGGTCCTAAAACTATCAGCATGAAACTTTTCCCAAGAATTTTCTATACCCTATAGCAGCCGTAGGAATAATCTAAATATAAATGGATGGATAGATAGAGTTTACATAATGCCCCTATAAATAATGTTTCGGGTCCCATTTGTCTACCCTACCTATGATATTTATATCCCATTTCATCAGATCTCATACTATACCAAGGTTGATTAATCCCTAACCTCCTTTTATGGCGGTTGTGAAGGCTGGTTGCCCGTTAAATAAACACATTTGCCGGGAGCTTGTAGATGGTTGTGGGCAGTGGGTGGTCTTGGCTGTGGCAGTAGCCGCGCCCACGTAATGCCAAATTATGGAGTTAGGTGGCAATGGGGATGGGGATAGGGATGGGGATGAGGGAAGTGGCAGCTTGTAGCAAACTCTACGTACACGTGTGCGTATACGCAGTGCAATTAGTGGCGACATTATTATGATTAACGCAGCTCGCTGAGTGTTTGCCCAAACACAGGCAGCCGCCGAAAGATAGTGAGATACGCGGAATAGGAGGTAAATAGGGGGATCTGGGTGGGGCAATAAGCTCCATTAAGTTGACACATCTGCATATGAAATTTAATTAGGTGGCTGCGCTAATCAGCCGAACCGCCAGTCAGTGACGCCCTATTACCTAATTAGCAAGAGTGGCAATAAAACGCAGCATTTTGCAAACAGCCGACGGCCATCAATTTTAGATTAATGGCAGGCCGAACCAGTTGCAATGCAAGATTTTCCAAGTTTCCTTAACAAATGTAATGATTGACGTACATTATTCTGTTCAGAATTCATACAATAACCTTTCTTTGTCCACATGTGAACGAAATATTAGAGGTCCCCGACAACAATCCTTAGAAATGCTTACATTTGCTTGCTTAAAATACCGTTTACAGGAGGAACCGAAACAGAAAAATATCAATAAAATTATTAATATATAACAAAAATTGGCAATCCGTTTTGATATTCCAAATATTATTATTGATATAGCTGAGTTCAACAGATCTCTTTAATTAAAGCCAAACAAAAACAAGATAGAATGCTATAGTCGAGACTATCAGACTATCAGATACCACAGACTATCAACATTTTCTGGACAATCAGTAGAAATTGCAGAAAAAATATTAAAATGAAAAAAAACTTACAATTTTCCCAAAAGTGTGGGCGTGACAGTTTTGGGAGGTTGTGGTCGTTAGAGTGGGCGTTCTCGTTCGCACTTTCACTAGCTGATTAACGGGTATCTGATAGTCGGGGAACTCGACCACAGCTTTCTCTCTTGATTTAAAATGCCTTTTTAACGGCAGGCCTTTGGTAGGTATTCACGCTGTGGTATTTAACGATGTTTTCCCGCTAAGCCGACAGGTTTACCCAAAAGTGGTATGACTGAAAATTCTTATACCGAGCTGTTTAACAAAAAAAAATGTTCTTAAATTTTTAAAGTAATGTGCTTCTACAGACAGACAAACATACCGAAAGACTATTAACTTTGAAAGGTTCCCCAAAATGATATTTTTATTTTTAATAAACACTTTAACCCCATAAGGGAACCAAATATTTTGGGAAGTCTTGGAAAGAAATCGATTTAGTTTTTACGCTACTTTTCGATTTACACTCCGACTTCCGGCGAATACAAACTTCACTTGGACTCGTTAAGGGACTCGAATGAAAGATCTTCGGTGGAGAAATGGCGGGGAAAGATATACACGCACTTGATTATACCAAAAGATGTCCTAATAGCCCCAGAAACCATTTTAATAAATAATGCTGCAACATCTTTGTCTTTTAAAGGACCATAAAGCCTGGATGCTGAAGGACATGAACGGACATTAATATCAAGTGTTTACCAATTAACGTGATGTATTTCAGGGCAGCGTCCATCAGCATTTGGTTTTATGAAGGCTAATTAGCGGGAGCTGGCTTTTTATGATATATCTGGCCCGAATGAAACATAATGTAGTCGAAACCCATAAAAGGTGGACCGGGCGCGGCCATATGCCGTCGATTTATTGGGCCGGCTTCTGCGCTGATTGGCTTCATTCCCTGACTTTGGCCATTGTTTTCCATTTCGAGTTATCCTTGTCTGGATCTTTGTGCTGCTGGCGATAAAAGTGATGACAACACGAGGGAATCAATCGATGAACCGAGTTCTCCAAGACGGTAATGACAGCATTATGTATATTGTGTGTGCGATCAAAAGCAATTTGCAACTATAATTGCAACCCCCGCCACCACCATCAGAGATGAAAACTGCCAAGAGTGCAGCTTCCAAGTATACGGCATGGTTTTTCCTTAAATCAACACGCGAATGTAAACTTAGTTATGAAGCTGAAAGCGTTTCATGGAGCTGACTGCTGATAGCACTCAGGAATCCAAATTAAACACGAGCAGGTGCACAGAGTAATTATGGTTTAGTTTTCAACGTCCCTTTTGCCCTTAAAGTTATTTAAGATAAATGGTTTGGATGCCCCAGTCTGACTTTGAGGACCACTTGATGGTGATGTGTAAGCCCAAAGTTGTTTTGGATGGACGAACAAGTTTATGAGGTCAGCTGTCGAACCCATTTCTCCTAGTTTTCACACAACTATAAACATTCCCAGTCTCCGCAGTCTATGTAAATGATATCGTGTACAGTCTTGTTTTTCAGGGGAGCAGGAAATATCATTTGTAGATAGTAACTATTAGCAGTTAACTTGACCGTCGTCATTCGGAAACTTTATGCGTAGAAGAGTGCTTCGAGTGAACGCCGCGCAATTTAGCTTTTGAGTCAGTGCATGAATATTGAGATACATAAAAGAAAATGCACACACGCAAACCCGAGAAAGAAAAGCATTCATCTGCATTCTCGAGGGAGTGCCTTTTGTAAGTAAGAAATGTCGTTAAGTGGCCGCTTTTCCCACACACCTACATGTAGAATTGTGCAGCGAATGGGCTCTAATGCTGGCATTGAGGAAAAATGGGCAGAAATTAACCACCCAAGAGGACAGTCTCCAGTTAATACCAATATCAGTGCAACTAAGCGTTGCTTTAAAAGATACTTATACAAATCGGAAACACGGTTTTTCCTAGAGCTCCAAAGTTGAAAACCCGAACCGCTGCAGATTCTAATCGCACTGGCTCTTCCGCATTGGTTATACTGACCTAAAAGTTATGACATTTGTCATTGTTCTAGGAAAACTACGCCAATTCCTGAAAAATCAACCACTTGAATTTGTCGGAGTGGAAACAAAAAGAAAATCCCAGCCGGAGGGCATACGACTTAGGTTTAGGCTTACGTCGAATCATTAAAATCTATGTCAACAAAATAGCAAGTACTCACTTTTTCGCATAACATATTTTAATAATCTAAGGGACAAAAACAATTGTTGTTAAATCTAGCTGGGGTATTGGTTTCTGATTCGTTGTCTGTACATATATAAAGTACATTATATAAAGTACATATATTAGTATATATGTATGTACATATATAATTACATATATATACGCTCAAGTTTGTTTTCGAGTGTTGCCACGCCCACTCGAATGCACACAAACCGCCCAAAGCTCCCACGCTAACATGTTTCAAATATGTTAGATTTTTTTTTTTTTTACCTCAAAATTTTAACGGCAAAAACAATTTTTTCCACTTTTGAAGTGTTTTATTTTTTTTCCTTATATTATTTGTCTTGCCAATTTATATCTATCTATCCCAAACTAGCGAAAAAAATTTGAATAATGCTGAGTTCTGGCGATAGATTGCGTTGAAAAAACTGATAAGCAATTTTTTTTTTTTTTTCTTTCATTTTATTTACAATCTGTCTTAATTGGACAATAAGTAAATGTTGTAATTAATATTAAAAATAACAGAGGCAGTAGAATTCGTTTAGCCTACTACATAATTTATGTACTTTTTTTTTATCTATCTATGAGGGAGATCGAGCACGTGAATGCGTTTGAGTCTTCTTACGTTGTTATTGTTGTTAATCAAACTTATCTAAATCTTAAGCTATCTTAAGCTAAATTGTTATCATGAATTCTTGGTCTATCTATATATTTTTTGTTATATTTTGTAATTTCATCTTTAACAGAAGGGATTCCTTGTTTGCATTTGAAATATAAAATGGGATAAGCCAATGAGAAAATATTCGTTGTAATGTCGATAATGTATATTCACTTCTTGTTTGAATACAACGATCGACTTTCCCGTCACGAAATCCCTTCAAGCAAAGCCACATACGCCTACAAATTAGTAGAGATTTTCACTACCCGACTTGTACACATTTTTCGTTAGTTTATTTGGATAACCCCGCCAAAATGCAGGCCTCCGGACGTGGTGCAGACCACTTCAACTTCATCACACGGACGGACCGCAAAAGTCTGCACACTCAAATCGGAAAGCTGGTGAACAAGGCGAAGCAGGTGGCCGCGGCGGAGCTGCAGGAACGGAGCAGAAGGCTGAAGAACATGCTGGATGAGGAGGACAAGCGGTACGAGGAGGAGTTTTCGAACACGGTGAAGACCCGGATCGACCAGGACATTAAGGAACGAAAGGAGCACCTGCACGCCATCAAGGAGCAGGTGGCCAAGCAGCACAAAAAGTTCCTCGAGGAGAAGCACATTCAGCAGGTCATGCTCGACTGCTACGAGATCCGCGAGGCCCTTCGGCAGCAGGACCTCGTGGAGACGAAGATAGTCCAGGAGGAGCAAATTCTCGAGAACCAACGGAAGAAGCGGCGCGAGTGCCAGCAAGATAAGTATTGGCTGGAGCTGAATCGCCGCCGGTGGGCCCAGTTCGACTGCAACCAAGCGGAGGAAAATCTGAGACGCCACCAGATGCAAGAGCAAGTAAATCATGTCCTGGCCGTCCAAGTAGCTGAGCACGAGGAGAAGCGCAAGGCGGCGATGGCAGAAAGGATGGAAGACGAGCGGATACTTAATTCTCTTCTGGAGGAGATCCGCTTGGAGGAGTTTGAGAAGGAGCACCAGCCTGCACCAGCAAATCAATTGGCCCACCAAGCCGAGCTGCTGAAGGAGATCGAGCGAAAAAGATGCGCCCGCCTGGCGGACTGGGAGTCGGAGAAGAATGACCACATGGCCTTCTGCCGGGAAACGCAACGGTTGGAAGCCGAGGCTCTGGCCAAGATCGCTCAGTCTAAGAAGGATCTTAACCGAGCTACTCTGGAATACCTGGCCTACCTCCGCCGCATGCAATCTCTTGAACTGGGAATCGAGAAGATGATGGACGAGCGCATCGCCGATCTCTACCAGCTGGACATGTGTACCAAGGTCAACATCACGGAAAGAATGCGGCTGAAGCGGGAGGCCGCAGAGAAGTGTCACGAGATCCTCCGGAAGCAGATCTGCGAGGACTACGAACGCAGAATCCGGTCTGATGCTGAACTTCGGGAGAACAAAATGATGGAGAATCGCTTTGTTCATCCGGAGGTCACTCATGAAATGATTGTGTGCCGCCAGATCCAGCACAAAGCAGACTTGGATGCACAAATCAAGGAGATGAAGCGTATCCAGATGGAGGAGGAGAAACGATTTGATAGTCGCCTTATGGCCGCTGTCGATAATCCCGTCGTCTGCAAAAGATTAGCTAAGGAGATTTTGGACTCCGGCACTGATTACCTTGCTCCGCATCCAAACTGGCGGGTTATGGCCTGTAATCCCACTAAGTACATTCCCAGACCTCCGGCCACCGAGCAGGATTTCAATGCCCGAGTTCTCGGTGCCAGTGTGGACAAATGTCCTTGCCCCAGAGAAGCCAGGAAGCACTGCAGCTTCATGGCTGAACTGGGTACGCAGGATGTACCTCCTGAGGGAGCCAAGACCCATGTGGAAGCCAAAACTTTCATTCCGGCCCAGAACCAAAAAACTTCCGCTTTTCGGAATTGCCGCTGCAAATTCTATTAGTTTTTTTAGTGGGCAGCATATTTCAAGCCACTTAAAATTGAGTTGAGTGTTGAGTCTATACAATAAATTGAATAATTATATTTACTGCTCTATTTTTTCTAACAGAATTCTTTGTAAACCAAGGATAATATCCTAATTTCATGTATTGAGCCCATTTACGAAATATTTAGTTATTTAATTTTAAGGAGGTCCGCCCAATTACCATCCTTCCAGAGCATCCTTCCAGAGCATCCTTCCAGGGCATCCTTCCAGAGCATCCTTCCAGAGCATCCTTCCAGGCACTAGTTCCATGATCATTCATTCATCCATTTCATTCATTCATTTCATTCATGGTCTTTCATATTTACTGAATACATTGCCTATGAGATGTCATTTCTTGGACCAAAGCCGGTTTGAAATACACTTTCTATGACTATTGGATAGCTCTGCATAGGCGCATATGAAACTGCTTTCCAATGAAAGCGCTCATAAGAAACAGAGTGACTGTGGGTGTTCATTGTGCAAAGGCCAGGACACACATGACACCAGTACTTTGGGCCACAAAATCGCAATTTAATTTCTACATCGCTGCCCTATTTGTCTCACACCTTCTCTCTATCTCTGTGTGGTTTTCAGACGACAATTGGGGCCTAGGACTGGCCATTGCCACCAACTTGCATGTGCCGTATCGCATCGAAATTGGCAGGACAATACGTCACCTGCATCTGCAGGATAAGCCGGGCAAAGGTGAGTACCGCCTCTGCTGGTCACTGGGCATACTGCACTGAAAAGCAACAAGCTCGACAAATTGGTGCTCCAGTGTGTTGCTATCTAAGAGAAGAAATCTATAATTGATAATTATCAACAGTTTTCTATTTTTAGCATACATAGTCTTAGGTTCTTAAGTAAATTAACACACTTAAAAAGAAACCAACTCGTCTAATAAAAAAACCAGTTGTTGTGGTGCTCCTTATTATAAAGTTAACACGGGTTACATTTCTTAGAAAGAGCCATCTTTGAACTTAATTGCATTAACCTTGTAAAATGTGTGCGGTTTTTTATACTTGTGTAGTTCCCGTTGTTAAAACTCACTCGGTCTCGATTTCGGTTTCGGTTTCAGCAATTATTATAACAGCCCCGCTGAACGATGCGAGCACCACCCTGCTGTTGTCCACCATCGAGGTGGAGTGGGCGGAGCAGGCGCGGAAGAAAGGTCATGGGTCAGGGCCCAGGAGGCAGCACACAAAAATCCTGCTCATCGACATGGCGGCCAGCTCATTGGACATCCAGCATGGGTTCTATAAATACTTGGCTCGAATGGGTGGCTCACGGAGTAAAGCCTTCGCACACGACGCTGATTCTCCGGCCGAAATGGTCAGCAGCAATCTGTTGGTGCTGACTCTGCTAAACGACAGACATCGCCTCTTTCTAAATGGGGCCGGACTGATGGCCACAATGCAGAATTTTCGCACGCCTCTCAACGGGAACCACAAGGATCCACCAGCCTCCGACCACCGCAATGCCAGCCTGCACAAGCTGTATCCGTTCCGCAATCTCTTCCCGCTCTTTGATACGATAGTAACAACCACTACCCAACCGGACACTTCAGAAACCAGTCCCCAATATGATTTTGTGGTGCTGGACATCGTTAGGGACGCCCCGGTGGCCCCCTACAAGTGGCGACCACTGCTCATTCTGGAGAGCGATAGTGCAAGTCAAGGAGGTGGGTTGGAGGTCGAAGGGAGTGGCTCCTATATCACCCACTCGATACACCCTGCTTACGACGAGTGGTTGCTGGTCAGCAGTGTCCTTCTCTGGCAGTGCGGTGCCATCTGCTGGACCATCGTGGCGATCTGTGTGGGCCTACTGGTCATCATATTCGCGGGCATTGTAGCCGGCGGAATCGCCATGCGGTAAGTTGCCTGCCAATTAAACTTTAATTTGTAAGTCATAAGAGGGAACTTGACTAAATGATTTGTTAAGTTTTTTAAGCTTACAAAGCAATTGTAATTAATTTAAAACCAGCTTAGGCTTATAGAACTTCATAGAAACTGGTTATCTTCATACTTTTCCCACTTTTAAATTCAATAAACTAATTTATACAAGAAATTTTCAAAATCTTACATTATAATATGGGAGCATTAATATATATACTTACATACAAATTTTAAAGTAAACTAAAACAAACAATGATAAGTTTTGGGATTTTTAGAAATACAAAAAATTTAGGTATTATATATAATAATTGTTTTAATTGAACAATTTCCAACAATAAGAGTTAAATCCCTTCTAATTGTGTTGACCCAATCCTTACATTTGCAGTCAAATACCACACGGTGCATTTCATAAGTTCGAAGAAATGGATAGAAAGAAGCGTTTCCGACTATACATATTAAAATATATATAGTCTTGATCAGGATCAATAGCCGAGTCCATCTGTTCGTCCGTATGAACGTCGTATCTCAGGATCTATAAAAGCTAGAAAGTTGAGACTAGGCATGCAGATTTTGCCACGCCCACTCTAACGCCAATAAACCGCCAATTTTGATATTTGATATTTGTTTAGATAATTTTCCCCTTTTTTTTTTGTTTTGGTCTTGTAAATGTCTATTATTTTGCCTAAAAACTTGTGGCCACAACCCACTCTAACGCCCACAAACCGCCCAAAACTGTCATGCCCACACTTATATTTTTTTTCTACCGATATTCCAAAAAAATTAAAAAATTTCTTGTTCGCACTTCCACCAGCTGAGTAAATTTTTAATTTTTGCTGAGTAACGGGTATATGATAGTCGGAGAACTCGACTATAGCGTTCTCTCATGTTTTTAATATACATATAATTACTACAAGATATATAAGGTCTGGATTGCCTTTTTTATTCTTAGTGAACTGATGTATAGTCTGAAACTTACTATTCTATCATTAGCCCAGTTAACTTGCCAAATAAAAATTTTAAAATCTCAATTCTGTCACAGAAAACGATTCTATTGTGAATGACTTGCAAAAAGCTGCGCAAAAATTCTTCTATGATCCTTGGTATTTAAGATCGAAAGCTTTTCTTGTCAAGACTCCGACATTACTCTATTATTTAGTTCCTGTAAAATACGCAATATTTCTATTAGTACCTACTTAAATAAAAAAAAGATTACAAATATTAATGCCGTTTAATTTGGTTATGTCCCGCACAGAAACTACTTCTTACGTAAGCGTCTCTCGAAGGGGCCCAACAAAATAGTCCTTTCAGCCAGCGATTTTGTTTTCCCAGTGGATTCTCGAAGAGTAAGCTCCTCATCCAAATTTCTATATCATTTAAAACACCTCCATATTTTTCGATTTTAGGTCGATGAGGGCATAGAGGCCATGCTATGCTGTTGGCTGCAGCAGCTGCAGGAGTTTGGAGGCCCGGAAGTAGACAAGCCGGATCTACTTAAAGGTTCCATTGGCTCCCTAAAGAATCTAGGATTCGTAATTCCCGGTGCAGCCGCCCCGGGCTCGGCTGGAGGCATCACAGCCACGGCGAACGGAAAGAGCGGGTCTTCCGCCACTGGCAGCTTAGCCAGGCACAATCCTGCCCATCTGGACATGAGAGCTCGGTATAATGGAGATCTCGTGCAACTGAAGGAGGTGCATATAAACGGATCTACGGAGCTGCGCACCAAGGCGATGGATCTACTCGTAATGGCCCATGGTCTAAGGCACGAAAATATAAACCCGTTAATTGGCTGGCTATCTGATCCCAACCGCACGGCCATGGTCTTTGATTTCTGCTCCAGAGGATCGCTGCAGGATGTGCTTATCATGGATGAGATCAAGCTAGACTGGTCATTTCGGCTGAGCCTGCTCACGGATCTGGTCAGGGGCATGCGATACCTACACACCTCACCCTTGAGAGTTCATGGGGCCTTGACCTCGAGAAACTGCGTAGTGGATGCCCGATGGGTCCTGAAGATCACCGACTATGGGTTGAACTCTTTTTACGAATCGCAGGGACTTCCGCCAAGACCCAGGAGTGCCAAGGAGCTGTTGTGGACAGCACCAGAGCTCCTTCGCAACATGAAGCACCACCAGCATCAGCACCACCATCAACACCAGCACGGCCGCATTCAGTTGGGGACCCAACTTGGAGACGTCTATTCCTTCGGAATCATCATGCAGGAGGTGGTAGTCAGGGGAGAACCCTACTGCATGCTCTCCCTCTCCCCGGAGGAAATAATAATCAAAATCAAAAAGCCTCCGCCTCTGATACGGCCCTCAGTTTCCAAGGGAGCCGCTCCACCAGAGGCCATCAATATCATGCGCCAGTGCTGGGCCGAACAGCCTGACATGCGTCCTGACTTTAACTCGTAAGTATTACCAGCAGATTAGTGAACAGTTTGCAAGTCAGCTGAGATCTGCTACTACTTTAATCTAACATTAGCTTAAATGTAGCGGCAAACAGATAGACAAAGCTTACGCCTTCAATCGAGCCTGCTTTACACTTCCTAAACACGTAATGTTGAATAGTTTTGTATTGTTCCCTTATAAATGCATTGCCGTTTGCAGGGTATACCAAATAAGTTGAAAAGTATGTAGAAAGAAAAGGTAGCAGGAAGCGTTTCCGAAACTATAAAGTATATATATTCTTGATCACAATCACTAGTCTGTCCGTCCGTCATATGGCGATTACAGCACAATCGGAACATTAATAAGAAATTAGTTAAACATTGTTATTTTTATTATTATCTTTGCAGTGGTATTTAGCCTCAGGTTTTTTTCTTTATATTTTATATATCATGGCTCCTTCATTTTTATTTTTATCCATTAGGGTTTATGAACGCTTCAAGATGCTGAACCATGGACGCAAGGTAAACTTTGTGGACACGATGTTCCAAATGCTCGAGAAGTACTCTAATAACTTGGAGGAGTTGATTCGGGAACGCACTGAACAACTGGACATTGAACGAAAGAAGACTGAACAGCTGCTGAATCGCATGTTACCAAGGTAAGACACCGTCAATCAAAATATAGCTCCAAAAATGAATATGTTTTGTTATCAAACCTTATATTCAGCTCGGTTGCTGAAAAACTGAAGATGGGCTTGGCCGTCGACCCGGAAGAATTTTCCGACGTAACCATATACTTTAGTGACATTGTTGGTTTTACAACAATCGCCGCCCATTGCAGTCCTGTTCAAGTTGTGGATTTGCTCAACGATCTCTATACGATCTTCGATGCCACAATCAACGCCTATAACGTGTACAAGGTAAGGAACCAAGTAATTTTTTGGATGATTGATTTTACATATTTGAATTACTTTTGTAATGTTAAAGACAGGATTTAGTTCAACTTTGTTAGCGTTAATCTGAGCGAATTACAATCACTTATTATCTTAAAACGTTTCCCATATAAGTAATATATATTCTAAATCTACGCAGTGCGTGAATTATTGCCATGGTTCAAAACTATGATACTTCGATTCAGCTGTCGTCGTGCGCTTAGAAAAATAAAAAATAGCGTGCAACTTTCCATGTATATTTATTTGAAAAAGCACAGCTTCAAAACCAACAGAGCTAGCATCACAGTGCAAATCTACTTCGTCTTTGTAATCATAAATAGCTAAAACTGGTGCCTGTACTAATTCGTCCTTAATCGTCAGAAAACAAACAAATTTTCTCCAAATCGAAATTTTTCGTCCCTTCTCAACAGCTAGTATACAAAAATCTTGAATACGTCTGCCAAAATATGAACATAATCCAAAAAAACTTTGGACTGACTGTGTTCTGTCAGGGACAGGAACATTGTTCATTGTTTATCGCTTATATTCCGTTGTCGTTTGCTCTGATACCCAATTCATTTATTTTAATTTATTTATATTTATTATAATAAGCATTCGCATTTATCCATTCGGAGTACTAGCTTGTTTTTAGCCAATCTCGCCAGTATCCTTGCTGGCGATCATGATATCCATGTACACAATTACCTTGTTGTCTCTAATAACATCATTAAAAATTTTGCTTATAAATCTCTGAAACCCGGCTGATGTAGTTTTCAGACCCATCGGCATCCTGAGAAACTCAAATTCACCTAACGGGGTTACAAAGGGGCTGTACTTGACTGATTTCTTGTTAACAAAAACATGGAAATAGTTGTTTTTTAAGTCATGTCTTGTAAAGATTTTGTTGTTAACCAATTTATCTAACAGGTCATCAATGAGTGGAATAGGGTACTTGTCCTTAATAAAAATCTTGTTAAGTTTCCTAAATTCGATGCACAATCTTATGTCTCCTGGGTTTACCGAGGAAAACCGAACTAAAGTTCGTACCGCTTGAATAATCAGTCTTCTTCTCGTATAGTTGATATTATACACCTCATTGATAGTCAATTCAGTTTCATCTAACCCTGGTCAACTGTATTCTTGCAAACGTTGCCTTTAATGGCTGGATTACCTGTTTGACAACCTTTTTTATGTTAATATGTTCCAACTGTATCACTAACAGCACTGTTTCAAATCTTTACTAGCTGAATTACTAATCGTACTAACGGTTTCTAAGTCTTTACTAACTGTATTACTAGTCGTACTAACTTTCAAAATCTGTACTAACTGTATCAGAACGGATTACGCGCGGTTTTTCCCGGTGAATCATTGATTTTAAAAGTGTTTTTAGGTTTGCATGAATTTCCACCATTGTTCACCATATTGATTTGGGTTTCCGTAGAATTAAATGTAACCATCATCAAGGCGTTTAGATCTAGCATTAGCTCGCTTTTAACGTATCTTACATAATTTTTGTATTTGCGCTCTTACACTGGGTATTGTCCGACGAAGTGTCCAAAGGTTCCGCAAGCGTAGCAAGATCCGCGCTTTCTTTTTGGCTTGCGGCAATCCCTAGCGTAGTGTTTCAAAGCGTTATAAGCCACTTTTCGAGAGAATCTAAGATCCTTTAAAATGGATGAAATGGATTTTCCCGCCAATTTCATGATTTGGATGACATCTCGCTGTGCTTCAGTCTACCAGCGACCTTTAGCCATTTTAAACCGAAGTTTTTTTTATTTACCGAAGTTAATAAAGCACAATTTATCAATTTAAGATCGAAAAAATACACTTGCTTCCAACAAAGACACTAGAATAATTATTCCAGTGTCTTTGGTTGAACTGTATGATCCAGTCTCGAGCACATAGGCTTCCATCAAAGTCCATCGTTACGTTTTTTGCTAATGAAAGTGATGCCGCAGCCAATCCTAAAAGTTTGTTTACGTCCGTGATGCGTCGTTTTTCCCTGCGGTCTGTCATCTCCTTTCCAACACTAAACGTGCCCGTTTTTAAGCGCGTGCCTCCAATTCGGACAGCTGTTTCATGCCGATTTCAACTCCCTTCAGCGACGGCATAGAAGTGAAATCGGTAATAATTTGGATGCTCGTGTTCCGACTGCTGTCCCTGAGAAATGGCTCCAATCGACTCGCTCATGGGCTGTAACTTTTCCTTTTTCGCGAATTTGTTAAATGTGGTGGCTCGTTGCCACGTGTTTCTGGTGAAATGGCCTGCATGCGCGCTATTAATTCCGCTGTTGAGTCTGAAGCTTGCAGTCCGAGAGCTGCCAGCCAACTTTTCAGCTGAACAACGGCGAATTGGTTAAAATCTTTGTCAGGCATTGTAAGTAAAAACAACTTCTGATGTTGTAAACGACTGGACCAACACTCTTCCTTTTATATCCCTCTTATTTTGACTGTTCTCTTTGAGAGCACGCCACCGAATCTTCTTCTCTTCTTCATTTCTGCGAACGGGCCATAACAGAATGGATCTTATATGCTGAATGTACATGATAGAAAGGGAAGACAATTTTGCGCTTAATTTTAACGGGGAATTGTGCTTATTACTCTTTTGTTTTTATTCTATTTCACAGTGGGTCTCAATAAGTATTTGTTATGTAATGCATAATACAGTGGGACCTACTATATGTCCTTCTACAGTGTGTACAGTGTCATTACAAAAAATACACAATCAATGTACTTATGTAGCACAAAAGTATGTGTTATTCTTATATTTTAAACCCTCAAAATATTTATTAATTAGGGTGATGGGTATTGCATTTAACTTAGTGAATGTAAATATCTAAAAACAGTATTCTTTTTCCGTTAGACCACAAATTGAATAAAGCTTGGGAATGGCATGTTATATTTTTGTTAACAAGACTGCGGGAACCTGACTTGTGTGCACTCACAAAACTGGTAGTCCGAATGTCACTTTCTCTTTAATTAACTAAATTACTTTCTACTGCTTTGCAAGTTGCAGGTATAGGAATGATATTTTTCGTTATTTGATACATTTTTCTCTTCTTTGGTCAGGTGGAGACGATCGGCGATGCATATATGGTGGTTAGCGGGCTGCCCGTGAAAATACCCGACCATGCCGAGCAGATAGCTACCATGGCCTTAGACCTTCTGCATCAAAGTGGTCGTTTCAATGTAAAGCACCTTCCCGGAGTTCCACTTCAACTGAGGATCGGCCTCCACACGGGTCCCTGTTGCGCCGGAGTGGTGGGTCTCACGATGCCCAGATACTGTCTATTTGGGGACACAGTAAACACGGCATCGAGAATGGAGTCGACAGGTAATTGCAGATGCACGTTTCTAAGTCGCCACACATTAAACTAACACAACACGTGCATTTAAGGATCCTCATGGCGCATTCATATGTCCCAGGAGACAAGGGATCGCCTGGAGGCTCGGGGTGGCTATGACATCGAGCAAAGGGGTCTCATCGACATCAAGGGAAAGGGCATGATGAACACCTTCTGGCTGCTGGGAAAAAAAGGATTCGACAAGCCGCTGCCGGCACCGCCGCCTATTGGGTGAGATTATATTACAAATAAATATAAGTGAATATAGCAGTTTGACAATCTCAAGCGGTATTTAACGGAAGGTACCCCAAGGGTATATCAATCTCATTTTATTTATTATCGCAGTAAAAAACTTTTTCCCATTTGCTTTTTACGAAATAATAATTTTTGAAACATAAATCCAAATGTGGCAGTCAAAGCGACCTATTAAAATATGAAATGGAAACATTTTTAAAATGTATTTCTATTTGTGTAGATCATCTTAATCTGACCAAAAATACTTTTTGTTAACATCCCATCTTGAACCAAACAATATAATGTATGATTAATGACATATTTAACTTCTGACATCTGCATTCCTAAAATTCAACTAGAGAATCTCACGGGTATGTTAAAGATCTCTTATCTCGACATTTTTGCTAACACTACTTATTGGATTCCGCAGATTGGATGAGTCTCTTATCCGCAACTCAATAACGCTGAAGGCGCAGGCCAACAAGTCTCGGACGAGCACAAATCCGTCCTCTTCGCAGAGCTCATCGCTGGCTGGGGATACCGTCGAGGTGAAGGTCGAGATAACACCGCCCACCAACGCAGACCTGGCTTCCGGGGCCAATCTCCACAACTCGTACTCCCTGGACTCCAATTCCACCAACACCATTAGCCCCAACGCAACCCTTTGTCCGGAGTTTCCGGGCAAGGCAACCCCAAACAGTACTAGTCCACAGTCGCGGAAGGTCTCCGAACTGACTTCAGAAAATCTGCTCAACCCGAACAGCTTCAACCGGCTGCCGAGCTCAACGGGAGGATCCAGCTCCAGGCTGTACAAAAAGATCGAGGAGATGATGGACCTCAGTTCGCCATACAACCACTATAAATGCCTCAGTCCCAGCGAGAGCAACCTCACTCAATTCTACGACGGGAAATACCTTTACGGCAGTGTGGCAGGCGGAGCGGGTGGTGGACAAGGGGGCGGAGGCGTCTGCCCCTCGATAGCCTTGAGCGGAAGTGGAAGTGGGGGTCGAGCCTCTCGGTTCGACGGCAAGCCCGGCTCCAGTCGCCTTCTGCGTCGGCAGTTCAGCTTGGATCGCGACGACCAGCAGGCGAAGGGAGAGCAGCAGCACCACCAGCACTCCCTGCAGGCAACCACCTACTCGGGCTTGGTGGCCGGTTGCGGTGGGGGTGTCAAGAGCTCCATGCTGGACATACCTCTGTTGCACGACACTACTCGCAGTCCCAAGGGAACGCTGACGCGGTCACACAAGCAGAACTCCGCCTCGATCACTCAGGATCTGGAGAAGATCGAGGAGATCCCGCTGTCGCCGGCCTCCTCGCAGCACCACAGTAGCCTGGACAGCAATCTAAATCGCAGTCCGCCCTCAAAGCTGGAAGCGCATTCGCCACCGCTGCCGCCCCTGAGTCCGCCACAGCTTTCCGCCCCCACATCACCGGCCCCGTCCAGATCTCTCAACGGGATCTATGCCCACAACAGCAATAGTGCCAGCTCCCAAGGTGCTGCCAACAACAATAATGGCACCCATCCCGGCCCGGAGCTGACCCTTAATGTAGAGCAGCTCCTGAGCAGATAGAGCACAATCTAAGGCCCCCCCACACAGGGCCGAACAAAGCTTTAAGTCTTATGCGAATCCAGTTTGAGTGTGCGAGTGTGTAAGTGGACGGGAGGTCAAGCCGGAGAAATGTTGTTTAATAGCCATCTACTCTTTATTTTTTGTAATAAAATATGCCTTTAAAAATGTGGCCCCGCCTCGCGTGGTGAGTGTGCCAGTGAAACAAATCAAAAATCAGTACTGAGCTAGAACAAAATTTTCATACTCTGTTGAAGATATTCCCGAACTGCATCCTTTCTTTTCAACAGGTAAAATAACGCTCTTCGCCTTAATTTAAATGTTCTTGAGTGTTGGGCATTTTGATTTTATGTAATACTTAGTTGTCAAGTCGGTTGGGTGATTACAAAAGGTGCAACATCTAAAATCAGGGTGCCAAAAGGGATGCCATATATGTAATCGCTTTTAGCTGTGAAGCAGCACTTAGAAAATCGTTAAACTCATTTCAAGTTAATAAACTTCTACATATGTATGTATTCCAAATTTACAAGAGTGTAGCCCAATTCCTCATAAATCATCTACGGACTACATTTCTCCAACGATTCTCCCCCATCCCAGAGTGCGGTGTGAATATGTGAATGATATCAATTTGAAAATGTTGTGATGTAAAAGCAAAGTACCTCGATGCAGGGCAGCTTGCTTCCAGCTGCAATTTAAAGTACAACTTTGTTCAAGATGTGACTAATAACCTAGTCCGCAGCCAATTGTCATTAGCGAAAATCTGCGTTTCACTAAATACAACACGTAGACTTACTGTAATCTGTTTACTTGTAGGATAACCGAGCATTTAAGTTTGCCAAATTTTGTACCCACTGTTCATATTGGAAGGCAGACGACATGGCGACATGATCTAAAAAAGATATTACATTTTTGTAGTTTAATGATAGAAATGCAGCTAAATAGCAAATTAAATGTATTTGGTTAGTTTTACAACATAAAATACTGTGAACTTAGTAATTATTTTAAAAATTTTCGTATATGATTTCAAGCGTGACAGGTAAGAGAAGAGGGACACATTATAAACTTTTCTACAAAAACTTCAACTAAAACATGTAAAATAGTAATCAAAATGTCTGCATACTAAATATCTGATCTTCAAATGCTGGCTGTTCTTTTTTTTCACTAGTGTGGATCTTCAAATATATACATACCTACTTATAAATATGGGTACATAAAGTTCCTTTGAAGTAAAAAAATTAGAATAATTTGGAATTCATGAATATAATGGCCATTTAAAAATACCTATGGAATAAGCATCGCTTACGTGAATTTAGTTTTCTAAAGACAATCGTTGTTACTTTAAAGCAAAACAAAATGTAATCAAAAATATTAAGGGTTTGTCTCCGTGTCATAAAATATATTGTATATTTTGTAACAGCTCTACGATAGCCCAGTTGTATTGTAATCTCCACCTATCCCGAGCGTATGTGTCGAAAATAAATAATAGTAATAATATATAATAAATAATAAAATAAATAAATAAATGTATAGTCTATAGCAGGGCTGTATGCCCATATGTCTTTGACATTGGTTCGGCTCGGCGTTGGAGCCTTGGAAGGTTCCAGTTTGCAAACCGGCTCGTCAAAATGCTGGAACAATGTTGCGATTTCTGCAAAGGCTTTTATGTTATATATTTTTTATTTATGTACGCAATAATTCCATTGTCATTCTCACTCTTGGCCAAAGTGACAATCACTAACCTCGTTTACTGAAAGCCTTGCACAAACCACCTAGTACTTTATTTATTCCCTAATTAGTGCAGCACTAAATGTTATTAAAAATATAAAGCGCCCAAAATATTATACACTTTTCAACAATTCCAAAGAAGTTTTGTTCCTTGTTGAACCGAACACGATTCGAAAAAATATATTTTTGCTTCAGTAATTCCGAAATTGATTTCCGAAATACATCGGAGTTTCAGCTTTCAGAGACATAGACGCAGCGCAAGTTTGTTTTTAAATGTTGTCACGCCCACAATCCGCACCAATCTATCACGGCTAAACTTTTGAAAAATGTGATATTTTTTCATTTTTGAATATATCTTGCACATTTGTATAGATTTGCCAAACAACTTTTTACTACGACCTTTCAAGGCCCACAAACCGCCAAAAACTGTCACGCCCACACTTTTGAAAAATGTTACATTTTCTCACTTTTTTGTATACATATCTGGTACATGTTTATAGATTTGCCCAAAAAACGTTTTGCCTAGCCCACTGTAACGCCCACAAGCCGCACAAACTCTCACTCCCTCACTTTTAAAAAATTGTTTAAGTTTTTTTTAATTTTATTATTTTTTTCCCTATTTCTACCGATATTCCAGAAACTGTTAAAATTTTTCGTTTGCACTTCCGCTAGCTGAGTAACGGGTATCTGATAGACGGGGAACTCGACTACAGTATTCTATCTGGTTTTTGTATATGTTTCCCTTTTATTACTGCTTTTGTATATTGTGTCTAATATGGCGTTAATCTTCTCGCGAATCAAGACGTACGCTACACGGCGGGGTCCCTTTGTCAGTGGGTGGTAGGTACGGCCAAAGACACTAGAATAATATTCTAGAACATTCTAGCGTCTTTGGTATGGTTATATTTGACGAAATAAGTAAGGAAAAGATTTTCCTCAAAGCTGAAAGGAAATCGAAATCTCTGAATTTATAATTGTGAAGCATAATAGAGGGTAATTAATATAGTGTAAACATGAGAGACTATAGGCGATTTTCTCGCTATACTGATTTTACTCGTTACTGAGCTTTCGGTGGAGTACGAACGAGAAAGTTCATCATTCTTTTTGGCATACCGCTTGAAATCAAGAAAAAAAATAAAAAAAAATCAAAACATTTTTCATCCATATGTGTGGGCGTGGCAGCTTTGGGCGGCTTGTGGGCGTTATCAGTCTCAACTTTCTAGTTTTAATAGTTCATACTCGATACTAGTCGACTCGAAGAATACCTACTGTATACATATACTCTAGCGCTTGCTTCTACCTGTTACATACTTTTCAACGAATCTAGTATACCCTTTTACTCTAGGAGTAACAGGTATAATTACACGACGACGCTTTACTCCACCAGGTGGATTTTTTTTGCCATATAACTAAGTATTCATTTATAAAAACCTTTAAACACATAATTAAAGTTTTTTAATTTTTGATTTTATATTAAGTTCTAAGTCATTTTAAGTTAATTGTTTCCTGTATAAGTATCGAAAATTAAAGCTATTAAAAAATGATATTTTAATTGAAACACAACTATATTGCGGTATTTACTGCCAGAGCTGTTGGTATTTTTGAATTTGTCGGGGTGGTCACACTGGCACCCTGTGTTTCTTGTAAAATTTTAGTCCATTGCATTGCCGTTTACGCATTTCTGAGGTACTACAATGGCAGATGACACAAATGAGGACAGCTGGCTGTATGGCACCTCGAATCCTGATTCGACGACCGGCGAGCTGGGCAACGGCGGTGATTCCCTGACGGCGGAGCACGAGTCGGCGGCTGAGGCTCAGGCGTTGGCTGAATTGGCGGCCGGCGAAAAGCCGGGCGTTTCGGTAGGGACTGATTCCGCTGAAGACTCGCCGCGCTGTCCAAAGGATGAAGTGGCCGAGTACTCGGAGTTCGACGACCCCGCGCAGGAAATGGAGGAGGACGAGGAAGCTTTGCCGAACACGGACAGCAGGAGCAGGAGAGAGCGCGACAGAGAACGGGATCGTGGTCGGTGCGCGGACGGGGCGGACACCCGATCTTCCCCAGAGCCAGAGGACGACGAGATGAGCGATGGTCCTGCCGCCAGGAGGGAAAGGAACGGCTCAGGGTCCGAGGATGACGATGACGACGACTCGGACGACGATATCAACGTGGTTATCGGGGACATTAAACAGGCCCCCAGCACCTACAACATCAAGCAGCGACCCAACCTGCTGGCTGGAGGCACTGGTGTTGCCGGAGACAAGGCCAAGCCGGCTGGTCAGGCGGGGAAGTTTAGCATCGAGGACTTTGAAGGTGCCGGCACCATCAACGGAGTGGCCGTCCACGAGTTCAGTATTGATTCGCTTGAGGAGAAGCCGTGGCGGAAGCCAGGAGCGGATATTACTGACTACTTCAACTACGGATTTAACGAAGAGACGTGGCGCGCTTATTGTGAACGCCAGAAACGGTTCCGCGTGGCAGAGAGCGGTGTCGGACTGGCCAGCCTCACTCAGAATATGAATCAGAATGCCCCTATTGGAATTCTCACAGATGGCGGCATGGCCATGGGCCCTCCCGGAATGCACAGTATCCAGTCGATGGTGGGAATGGGCGGAGAAAGCGGCATGCAAATGCCCCCACCGGGAATGCCGCCTATGATGCAACACCAGTCGCGATCCGGAGTGGGATTGATGCAGCGTCCGCCTAGACCCATCTCAATCACAGGCGGTGATAGGGGGGGTGACCGGGAGAGAGCCGTTAAGGAGAACGCCATTCAGGTGATGACCGCCGAGTGCCGGGAGTATTCTCGTGGTGGATTGGGACCCATGGCGCCAAACTTCCCGCTACCCGGCGCCTCTGAGGAACCCTTCTTTCACGAGCCAGAACCCTTTGACTACGGCTATGAGCCCACCCAAGAGTCGCAGTGGAACAATGACAATGCCGGATGGGTACCCAGTGGGATTAAAGAGCTAACTCCAGGTCATGCTCATATGCAACAGCCTCCACCTGGCATACCGCCTCCTGGGATGAGTGTGCCACCGCCGCAGATGGGCGGTCCACCACCCAATTTACGCGGCATGATGCCACCCAACATGCGCATGCCGCCAAATATGAGTGCGTTCAAAATATTTAGAATTACCATGCCCAATGCCCGATTTATTAAAATTTTCTCTTACAGATATGGGACCGCCACCAGGAATGATGATGGGAGGAAATGTGCCGCCACAGATGAGAATGGGTGTTGCGCCACCACAGAGATTGGCCATGGGCGGTAAGTACAAATACGTTTTATTATTAAAATTATTTATCAAGCCAGATGCTGACCTGACGATCCAATCCTAACGCAGTCCTGTGCAGATACTCTGAAAGTAAAATGCCTTTTGCCCTCTACATTTCAGATCGTGGCGCCTACGACGACGACCGTGAGCGCAGAAGACGCGAGAAGGAAAAACTGTTAAAAAAAGATCAGGTATGTCTTATACATAAATGGTAAATTTTGGAATTATTACAATCCTTTTTTATACAGATGCGAAAGGACTTCCTTGACATGTTGCGGGAGCGACATGACATCGAGAGGCACACCCGGTGGTACGATGTTAAGAAAAAGTTTGAGGCGGATCCTAGGTACCGAGCACTGGACTCGTCCTATCGTGAGGAGTACTTTGAAGACTATTTGCATCTGTTGAAGGAAGAAAAGCGCAAGGAACGTGACCTAAAAGAACGCGAACGACATCGCGACAAAGAGCGATCTCGTGACAAAGATAAGGATAAAGATAAAGAAAAGGAAAAAGATAAAGATAAGGAGAAGGACAAAGATAAAGAGAAGGACAAAGATAAGGAGAAGGAAAAGGACAAAGAGAGCTCTCGTCGGGAACGCTCTCGATCCCGCGAAAAGTCCAGCCGTCGCAAGTCCAAGTCCCGCGAGAAAGACCGAAGCGAACGAAGCAGCAAGAGTAGCAGCAGCAACACCGGCGGATCCTCCAGCCGCAGCGAAAAAAAAAAATCGTATCGCAAGGACAAAGAAGAGGACGAATAGCATTTGTTTAGGTACTTTACGGTGGAGAAGCAAGAAGAAACCCTCTAAGCTGTAGAACATATTAAGAAAAATAAAAAGTGCGAACTAAACAAAATGTTATTAATAGACTCAGGAAAAGAAATACGCCTATGAGGGCGGCAAATAATTCTTGGGGTTTTTAATAATTAAATGTGAATCTGTTAATTCGTATACCCCTTATTACAGCCGGATGTTGCAATGCAGAAGAGGAGACATGTGGGATTATATAGTACGACTATATACATTCTTGATCAACGCCGAGTCGATAGAGTCAAATGAAACTTTCCTACGACTCATTTTTTATTACAGGTAGAATATCACACTATATCATATAGCTGCCATAGAAATAATTTAAAAGCAAGAGAGAATGCTATGGTCGAGTTCCCCGACTATCAGATACCCCTTACGCAGCTATTTGAAGTGCGAACGAGAAATTTCAATTTTTTTCTTGCATATCGGTTAAAATTGAAAAAAAAAAATATAATAAACAATTTTTTAAAAATTTTCAAAAGTGCGGTTTGTAGGCGTTAGATTCCCTTTTTACAAACGCGTTTTTGTTGTGCCGATAGAATTGGCAAGACTGACAATGAAACGAAAGCAAAAAGTTGTTTGGCAAAACGGTAGACATTTACAAGACATACAAATATTAAAACATTTTTTAAAAGTTTGAGTGTGGTAGGTTTTGGGCGGTTTGTGGGCAACATAATTTAACATGCATGCCCAATCTCAACTTTCTAGCTTTTATAGTTCCTGACAGACGATACTCGGCTATTGATCCTGATCAAAAATATATAAACTTTTTGTGAAAACGGCAACAGAAAACAACATCCCAGAGCCCAGTAAACCCACCATCCAGGAACCAACTCGTAATGCATTACAATGATTTCAACAACAAACTACAGAATATCCCTGCGACACTTGCGGAGCTGTTTGCGCAACAGCAGAGCATCCAACTCGGCCTGCTTCCTCCTCTCCTCCTCCTCGATGGCGCACCGAATTTCCTCCGCCTCGTTGTTGGCTTTCTCTGAAATGTAATGGACTTCGGGCAGGAAATCTAAGATTCCCTTACGTATGAGGTACTGATAGTTCATCGCCACAGAGTACTTAATCTCTTGTCCGGTTACCGCGCCAAGTTCTTGCCAGTGAATGTACATCCAGTTTTCATTTCGAATATCCTTGATGCTGTTGTAGACTGGAATGAAGTCGTCGATCTTTGCAATGAACGTTTTGGCCACCTCCATAATCTCGATCTTTTCGTGAAATATTTTCATTGACTCGGTGAGCTCGTCGCGAAGCCTCATCAGATTATTCCACACATCCTCCAAGTCCAGCTGCGCGATCGGGTTGCCCAAGGTGGCGTCCTCGAGCTTTAGAAAGTTGGCGCAGGCGTACCACAGGTTCTTATAGGGATTAAAGCTTGCGATTATGCTCTCCAGGAACTCAACGGAGAGGGGCTCTAGCTCAAATAGTTCCTGCCGGAATTGCAGAGTTTGGCTGACCTTCTCGAGCTCCTTGATCAGAGCCCACGTCTTTTTAATGTCCACTGACGTCTCCTGGGCGCGGTTCGTATTAAACGCCAGTGAGTAGGCCTGCACCTCGTCGTTGAGCGACTCCAGACGCTCCTCAAACGCCTGGCACTCGCTGGAGTGCAGGCGGAGAAAATCCTCAATGTCCACCTTCTGCTCGTCTTTCAAGGTGGACAATCGCACCATTATCTGGTGGGGCCACGCATACACGTTCCACTTCATAGCGAACTGGTGGTCACTCAGGTTGTAAAAGAAGCTGTCCAGCAGATCGTACTCCAGCCACATGACCTGAATGTCAGCCTTTAGCTCATCCACTAGATCCGGAACGGTCTGCGCAAAGTCGCGAATCTCGTACAGGTGTTCAATGCTAATTGGCCGCTCTGCGATTCTGCGGAACATCTCCAGGCAACGGTCCAGCAGAGCCTCATTCGTCTCATACATCCGGTCCACGTAATACTCAAAGATCCGCCTAACGATTTCAATGCGTTTTTTTATCATGAACTGCTTCATTGTGTCCACGTTTATGTAAAACGGTCCAATGGTAATAAAGGCGGGCAGGATTTCGCGAACCTCCTCCTTCAATCGCTTGTTTTCCAGAATGTCCCTCTTCACCTCCGACGACGGCTTGCGGGCTTGGGCATATGCCTGCATGTAGGTTGTGATATTGAGGAGGTAGAAGTCGATAAACCTCTCGTAGTGGCGGGCGTAGGCCCTGAGGGGTAGCACCGCCTTGGCGTAGCAGTTCTTCAGAAGCTCATTCTCCCTCAGGAACTTGTCCTCGATGAGCTCTACCGTAAGGATGTACAGGTTGGGGGCGAACTTCAAAAAACTCATGACAGAGCCATCTATGCACCTTACGCCAGCCGATTTCTCCAGGCACTTCTTGAAGATCTCGACCAGCCCCGGCTGGAACTCATCCGGGTCAGTGGAGTAGAATACCTTCCGATCATCGCTGATGCCGAGGGTCATGGCGAATACAGGTTTTTGGAAAGGGAACTCGGTGTCGATGTAGTTGTTGGTCCACTTGTAGTTGGCCTTCAGTTCAAGGAATTGCAGGCAAGGGTCGCAAACGAAGTGCGAGAAGTTCATCAGAGACGTCTCGAGCAGTACCTCCATGGACTCCTGCATGCGGAACTTGACCTGCAGTATAAACCGCGAGATCTTGCACATGAGATAGACCGTCCAAGTGGTGAGGGAGATGTCCAGCCAGCCCTTTCCCAGAGCTCGGAGTACCACGGTGATGACCGTTGTCAGCTGCTGCGGCCAATAGACCTTAAGGAAGGTGGCCACATTGTCGCTATGCGCCTCCTGCGCCTGCAGGAAGTCTACTAGGGCCAGGGGTTTGCTGAAGCTGCAGATGAAGATCGAAAGTGTTTCGATGTACTGGCACTCGATGGCCACTCCGGCCATGGCCTCAATGCCGCCGCCGCAGTAAAACAGACTGGCCTTCAGGAAATCATACCGCTTCTCCTGCATGGTTATGCCAAGAGCCTGCAGTTCAAGACGCTCCTTCCCGGAGACGTCCACGGCGAAGGACCGGGGCAGAAACTCCTTGAGGTTGATGTTCCGGAACTGTGGAAATTCCTTTGGCATCTTAAGGATAAACTGCTCCAATTCGTATAGGGCCATTAGGCGCTCGAACACCAAGTTCACCTCGGAGCGCAGTCGTCTCTTGCACTGCTCGGACACTTTAGCCGCCTGCAAGACCAATTCGATGGGCTTAAAGCTGTAGAACACGGTCGACTCAATATCCTCGTGCAGGACGCAATCCACGATCAGCTCCATTAGCATAAGCTGCTCCCCCTTGTGCCGCTCGTGCACAGCGGCCTGCAGCCGCCTGATGTACTTGTGAGGGTCCTCGGCCATGAACATGAACTGGAGCTTGGGTACCGTGTAGGTGCATCCGTCCTCCAGCGATAAAAGCGTCCAGAGGTCGGAGTCCTCGTGGTGCGCGGTAACAGCTGCCATGCCCCACTTGCAGTTCAGCAGGCTTTGGTTATATGGCAGGTACGCCTTCGCCGGAAGCGGGTAGTGCGCATCGCCGACCACTCCCAGCTCAAACCAGGCCACCGGAGAGTTAATGTCAAAGTTGCTATCGTCGAAGTAGCTCAGGGGAAACTTGTGTGGAAAGGCGAATTCGGACATTACGTTGTATTGCTCTTCGGTGGGCTGGAGCACGTCGTCAGTGAGTCCTGCCCTGGCCAGCTCCTTCTCTAGGTTGATCTTCTGGTACTGACGACGCCTCCGGTCCACCTCGACGTCCTTGGGAAGATGCCGCTTTGGAACGTAGCGGGTCTGGATCACTTTCGGCAGAATCGTAGGCAGCGGAAAACGGTGTGCCTTGCCCATCTTGTCCATCAGAGTGAGCCATCGTTGCGCCTCCTGAATAGGGTAATATATATCTGTGAGCTGATTCCGCGGAATATACAACTCCTGATAGTTCATCATAGTAGTTCCTGGTCGTGGCGGCATGATGCAGATAGCTTTCTCAACCTCACGCTTAAAATGAGCGTCATCTTTTCCCTTGTTGCTAATTGAGCTGGTGCTGCTCGCAGCAGATTCCTGGGAGCCTTCATAATTGTGTCCCACCTCCAAGTTTTCTTGCTCCATATGAAATATTTTGTTGTGAATTTAATGTGAAAGTGACTTTTCTCCCAAAGCAGTGTATTGAGTGTAAATGTATAATTACTGTCTTTTACTAAACGTAAAGCAAACAAAACTCACTTAAATAAATCAGTTTAAGCCCATGTCCATAATAATGATAATATTTAAATTTATTCTCATGTTAGAGTAATTGTGTTCGACTTCTTTCATACTCTTTTAAACCTTGTACCCTAAAGGGTATGTATATATATTTTTTATCAGTATCAACAGCCGATTCGATATAGCCATTTGTACATAAAATTTACCTTCTGTATTTTTGATCATAAATATTTCTAATTTGGTATACATTATACATTCCACATTATATAAATTCGGACGAAAATATCATATCACTATCTATTTAGTGGAAAATAATTTTTATTTTCAATTCAATAAACAAAGTTTTAAGCAATCCATAGTTCCAATTTTAATTTGATTAAAATCGAACGTTTATATAATTTAGCTAGGAACAGCTTAGACAAGCCGAAGCCAGATGCTCCCTTTGTTGTTTTCTTAAATTGTAATAATCAGAGCACTTTTATCTGAACGGGTAAGTTGTTACTTGTGGTAAAAGGGTATATAAGATTCGATGAAGGAGCGTTTCCAACCCTATAAAGAACATATATTGTTGAACAGGCGCACAAACCGCCTAGAACTGTCAAGCCACATTATTAAAAAAGGTTTTGATTTTTATACCCGTTACTCGTAGAGTAAAAGGATATACTGTATTCGTGGAAAGGTATGTAAATGTAACAGGTAGAAAAAGGCGTTTCCGACCATATAAAGTATTATGTATATTCAGCAACTATTGGGTTTTTCATAGCTAGATCTAGATTATTTAAAAACGGAACAGACACAACTGGAAAACTGTCTAGCTTAAAGTATTTGGTTAGTGAGCAAAAATATTTTAGTTTAGTCTAGAAACAAACGTTCCACAAATTTAATTCCTGACTCCTAAAAGGTTTTTAAAGTTAACTAGTAATGGCATGTAAGAAGTAATCCCCTCGTTGGTGGCACTTCCTTTAGTTGACTAACGGATATCTTATAGTCGCGGAGTTCCATCTTTTTGTACTGCATCTTTGGTACTTTTCCTACTCCTTTTACTTATCAAAAGACAATAATTTAAGCACAGACCGTTGAACTACGATCACTATACTAGTGTTCCATTTTTCCAATCGAGCTTTAAAAACGCTAAAACGGCATCACTCGTGCCAACACTCTGCTAAGGTTCTGCCAGCCCAATCGAACATGTTCGAAGTTGTGAGAACGTTTTGTACAAAAATATATTTAAGCGACTCGCAAAACGCGCTCTTTGTTGCTGCACGATTTCACTCGCGTTGTCGTTTCATATAAACCCCGAAAGATATGGCTAGTTGACTAAGAAGTAATTCGATATTAATACATATTTTTTACGAAGCACATATAGTTTTTTTTGGGTTAAATCGCTTTTCTGCATGGTGAAGTCCGTTGCGTTTTGTTGTCGGATATATTTTATGTGCGGTGAGATCCGATGCTGTGCGTGTGTGTCGAGCTAATTTAGAGTGAAAACATTGCCTTTTGTTGGCGTTGCTGTTGTTGGTTGCCATCGCCATAGCCATCGGCATCCCAGCCCGCAGTATCGAAGTATCAGTATCGAAAGTATCGGCAGGCAGCCCAAGCCGAAACTAGTCGATTGTTAAATTCCCAAAAGCGCGGGCCCTTCTACACTTGCGTTCGTTCTCTTTCGCGGGTGCGTATTTGTGGCCGTGAACGAGTGAGTGCATTCGTGTGTGTGCACTCGGAATTCCTCTTCCATTCCAATTGCCGCTCGCCCCCGCTTGCCCCCGCTTCCGCCCACGCAGGTGAGTAACGCCAAGGCGCGGAGGCATTATCCAGCTACTCCACCTTCGCCTCCCGATTCGGGCGATATTAGTCATCACCGCCATTGCCTGTGGGTTCATGGTTTAATTAAAATAGTGGCGGTAGTCCACTGTTTCCTGCTCTGCTTCCCGCCGCGCCCATTTGCAGTAGCAGCGGCAGCAGGCAGTGCCGAAGAGAGCCGCCGCGAAGCAACAGCCAACTAAGAGAGCAAAAGAGCTCACACGTGTCGGCTCTAGTGGCAGCTAAGAGAGAGCGCACAGGGACGTGGGTGCCCTTTGTAAGGGGGTGACTATACAATATGTAAGATAAAAAGAATGCCACTCGTATTCTGTTTCGATATTTATTCTATAAAACAAAACAAATATATAGTTCGCTATAGCTAATTTCAATCTGTGTATATCCGAAAACTGTGACGCCTAAGGCCCATTATTTAATGTTAATGCAATTAATTAATGAATTAATTTATTAATGAATTCATTCATTAATGAATTAATGAAAAAAATATTTTCGAAAACGATTATCAAAGACTATTTTCTTATTGATTTTGGTTACATGTTATGGGTCATTAAATCAATTAAATATTATTTATTTGACTCAATATCTGGATCCAATAAATATAGAAACAAGTAACTTACTAAATCACGTACACAATAACTTCTTTATTAAGTAAATTTGGTTGAAAAAAGATCAATTATATTTTCGACCATTGTTTCCCCATTGAGATCAAAAAATTCTTTATTTGGGTGTATGTAGTAGGAACTTCTATGATACTTCTTTTTTTTTTAGTGATACTATCATTACCACATGGGTTAAAAAAAGCAAACATTTGTTTACGACTTTTAGTGTACATTATTATATAAGTATTTTATCGTCGATCTCTATAGGACCTTGTTGTTACCTACATTATTGACGCTGATTTTAAATACTATTGTTTCGCTGTTTTGTTTTCCCCTACTGTGTAGCTATGTTGGGTTAGAAGTGCATTGGTATGTCGCCTATGTCAGTCAATCAAAAAGTTTCACCTGTCCATCGAATGCGGAAACGTCGAGAAATGTACTTGCATTCGCATTTTTTCAGGTTTTTAGGGTCAGCCAACGAGTGCGCTAAATACTTCGATCAGATATGTGTATGTATCAACTGGAGAATGTGGTGTGACATCAATTAACGCGGCCCGGTGGTCAGAAAACGAACGTAGAGCTACGTAAAGAGTCAAGGGTTTCGTCTATGCAAATAGATTGCAAAAATGCAGTGCCAAAGTGCTAATTTATTGCTTTGCACCTTGGCCCTTCCGTAGAGGTAATTGTCAGGTATTTGGCTGGCGCGACTCGCATAGAGCTCAGTAAACATACTACCTGGTTAGATTGCTCGGAAATCAAATCCAATCCAAATATTCACCCGGCAGATCTAAAGTTTGTGGCTAATTGCCGGGCTCCGATATTCTCAGAGGAGATGAGATATACAATCTGCTGGCTGTATGGGTCACACCCACAAGCACTCTCAAATTATTCGAGCCAACAAAAAAATTCGTCCAAAGTCCAAGAGAACTGGGCTATAGAGATGGCATGTGTTAGTCCTCTGGTTTATAGGTGCTCGCTAATATGTGTTTTGGCAGCGCATGCTTAATAAGCACTTTTGGGCACTGCTATTATGCTGAAAGTTCTTAACCGGTTTGTCCTATGGAGAAAGAAAAGAACAATGATATCGTACGGGTTCTCAGACCCCTGAGACTCTCGTCTGTGAAGGTTGGACACGATCTCCGTACCATTCGATGTTTTCACATCATGGGCACAAGCATTCGATGGACAGTGACAGCATCATCAGAGTCAAGAGATCTAGCCTTACCATCTGCTGCTGTGCTGTAAAGAAAATTATTCCGTTATCTGCGGTGAGAAGAACAGATCCAATTCGTGATGGTAATACGAATCCAGGGGCTTCTTCTTCGTCGAAAATAGCTACTGTTTAAATACAACTATCATCTGCTTAGGCGGGAAGTCTAAGGTCATAGTTTCAGTATTAAATGTTATATTGGGACTTGGAGTAACAATAGATATGATAGATCGATCGGTATAATATATCTCTATATCTGTCCTTATAAGGATTTTAATCTCAACGAGAAAGAGTGACCGAGAATAACGGTGCGCAGAGCAAGGTGCTTGTGATGTCTGGCAATCTGCCTAGTAACATTAAAGATATTAAGCTCCAGATGTAATAAGCGTCGTCTTCAAATTTCTTTAATTTTGTAGTTAGTAGGTTTTGAATCTGCAACGACACACAGTTTTCGCCTAATAACGATATTTTATGATTTATATTAAAATAACAAAAGAGAACTGTGTAGTCGATTTTCTCGACTATCAGGTGCCCGTTACTCAGCTAGTGGGAGTGTGAGCGAGAAATTTTAAAATTATTTTGCCATATCGATGGAAATAGGAATAGGCAAAACAAATAAAACGGAATCGTTTTCTTCTACCTGTTACACACATACTTCACAACGAATGTGGTAGAAATTTGCACATATGGACCTTATGATGGCAAAACCCTTGTAATATATTATGGGTACAAAAATAAAAGAGATTAGAAGCAAAAGATTTCCCTAAATATGAAAGCAATGCTTATTTGCACCCAAAAGAAAATTGTCATAGAATCTATTCTTTCCAGTATTAACATTTTCTGGAAAATGGGGAAAAAAATAATGAAATTAAAAAAATTTTAAATATGTGGGCGTGACAGTTTGCGATGTTTGTGGGCGTTAGAGTGGGCGTGGCAAATAGTTTTTATGCAAATCTATAGAAATTTGAGGATATATTTTCAAAAGTGTGGGCGTGGCCGTTTTATGCGGTTTATGGGCGTTAGAGTAGGCGTGGCCACATTTAGAAACAAACTTGCGCTGCGTCTATGCCTCTGGAGCTCGAGGCGTTCATACGGACAGACGGACATGGCCAGTTCGACTTGGCTATTGATCCTGATCACGAATACATATACTTTACTACTAAAACTTAGAATATGGAGATTAAACTTGCACCTTCCAGGGCCATAAACGCAGCGCAAATTTGTTCCATATTTTGCCACACCCACTCTAACGCCCGCAAACCGAACAAAACTGCATCGCCCCCAAATTATAATTTTTAACTGAGTAACGGGTACCTGATAGTCGGTGAACTCGACTATATCGTTCTCACTTGTTTTTAGAACATATTTTTTTATTTATATTTTTTTATTACAACTTATATTATGTGTGTATACATATTAATAACAAGTACTTAAATTGTTTTATTCTTTTAGGGCCATTATAATTTTATCCTATTTTTAAATATTTTATTTTATATATGAAACTTAGCTTATTTTTAAAAAACTTGACGCCAGAATTATTATTAAAAGTTGTATAGAGGTATTATTATTATTGCAATTAATTCTGCGAATCTTTTATTACTTTTACATTGTATATGTAAATTGCAACCGTCATATCTGCCTTGTCCTTTGAATCTAATCCACTGAAATATATATATAAGTATATGTACATATTGTACATAAAAAGCGTGCGCCACTAGCTTGCAGCAGAAATTGTAGTACTTGTAATTTTTAATTTTAAAAAAAAAAAACATTTATTTCAATAATATTAGCAATTGAATTTATTAAGATATTAATTGAAGATATTATCAAAATTTCTTTTACAAGATAAAATACATAGTGTGTGTCATATTTATATAATTATACTCACATTGTATTAATTAACTTATGTTACAAACAGCACACTTTTAAACATGATTAATACATATACACTGCGCCATAGAAAATAACAGCAATATTATAAAGCGGACGCGAAAATACACTTACGCGATTAACAGAGGAGTACAAAATAAACTAACACTTTACGTGTTCGAAATTTTCGAAGTGGAGTCTTATAAAAGCAATAGCTGAAAGTATACAATTTGAACTCTGTGGTATAAAAACTATACTGATAAGGATCAATTGAATATTAATGAGTATAATATCCATTCAAAGCTCTTTATACCATTTGTAATATAATATTAAGATTAATAAGATATTATAAGATATAAGATATATAATATTAATAAGATATATAATATTATAAGATATTAAGATTAGTATTAAAATAATAATATTAAATTCTCTCTTGTTTGCTGTTTCTCTTCTCTTATATTTGTTTCTTGGGTATTTTACTTTCATTGCTTGAGTCGTTTAATTTATCCAGACGTTTTATATGCATTTTTTGAAAACTCAGCGCCAGTGTTATGCAAGTCGAACCTCGGTTTCTGTAGTTTCTCCTCGGTTTAGAACGCCCGCAGCAGAGTCGCAAAAAACGATAAATAACCTCCATTCCTGACACCAGTAACCTATGCCTCTGGAACTATGCATGTGCATATGTACACATCTACATATGCATTTAAATACCATTACCGCAGTGCGTGTCTGCAATGAAAACTTTCATCGTGTGTGTCAGCAGCTTGGTCAGTTTTCCGTGGGTTAACCTTCACATAAATCGAACGTCCGACTTGAAGTCGTCAGGTGGGAGCGGTCCGCGATTCACTTGCGCTGGTGATCCAAGCCAGTGATCGAGGGCCGCCGCCTTTATTTACTTTCGAGGAGATCGGAATCCCAAGTATCTTGTGTGCACAAAAGTATCGTCGCGGTTTTCCAAATTTCGTCATATAAATAGATAAATATTTATTTTTCAACAAGAAGGACCAAAGATAATAACAACGAAATATTAAATACAAACCAACGAAATCCAGGCAAATATCTAAAAAAAAGTTGGCCTGACTAAACAAATATCCTAATCCATTTCCGCACAATATGGAAGGACTTTAACCCATAATCCATTTCCTTCCTTTCTCACTTTATCCCCATAATTGTGATTAGGTATTATAATATAATATATATATAATTATAATTATAATATAAACGTAGCTGAAACAGAAAACAGAAAATAAAAAACCAGAGAGTTACTCGACTATCAGATAGG